TCTTGGGACTCCTGAGTATTGCAAGACTCATGGAGGAGTATAATTCCCTGGAGAACAAGGGGAAAATCTCCTGGGAAAGTCTAGGCAAAGCTGCCTATATAAAGTCCCAGTTCAAACCACTCAGGACTCCTGAGGAACGCACCACAAGAACTGTAGAGTGGGAAGCGAAAGTTCCCAAATACTGGGAAAGAGATGCAAGTCTCCACACTGGACAACCAGGCCAACGACCACCCTTCCCCATGGGAAGAACGGTAGACCTACCGTACTCCACGCCTGAGCCAAGTAGCTCAGGAACACAACAACCTGCTCCCACCCAGGGAGCGCCCACTTCGTCAAGTTCACAGCTCGACAATGTAGCCCAGGCTATGTCATCGCATCCAACACAGCAATCGGATGTCCAGATGAACAACCCAGAGGAAAACCCTCCTCCAGGGCAATAACTCCACCCTTGAGGAAAGGGAAAGTGACATGGTAATACGCCATCAAGGTGCCCATGAAAACACTTTCCCCCAACTCAAGGCCCCGCACACAATATTGTATGCAAGGAACCGCAAGTAACAATTGCGGAAATCTCTACTTTGTCAAAAGACCCACATCCACCACCACTCATGCGTAAACACCACTTACACACAAACCCTCACGGAACAAGTGAGGAACACCAAAGACATACAACCTTTGGGTCGAAATTCATTTTTGACAAACTCCATTACTCTCCTCTCTGCAATACCCATGTATCACCATTCACTTCAAAGTGATGGCCCACACTCACTTATTCCCTAAACCCTTTCTCTCTCCTTCACCAACATGTACAAATCGCCCACTTTAAAGTGGTGACAATAAAACACTCATTGATAATTTCAAACTCAATGTAAATTAATTCTTAAACTTTATTTTCTTCACCATTAACTTTGTATGTGTCGCAAATTCAATGCAAGGGGGGAGAATGTCAGGGCAATAGCCCCGAACCCTGAGCCACATGTAATTAGATACATATAGTCATGTGGGTAAGCAGGAACCTCCAGGTAACTGCTTACACACTACCGTAAAATACACACACTTGTATCACTTACAGCTCTGTGTGCTGAGCTACCCTGAGACCTCACACACAGGGACACCTGGGTGGCTGCGGCTGTCTCCGAGGATGACATGGCATCCATCATGTGACCCAAGCCGCATGTACATAAATGTACCTGAAGTGGGAACCGAAGAAGTAACCTTCTTCTGCTGTCAGGGATGTGTCTGGGGTCAAGGCAGTCCGGGTGTAGCGCCCGGTGCTGAGGACCTTGCAGGGGGTGGATTGGGCGTGTGTACTGGTGGGCCTGATGTGGGACAGCTGTCCCTGGCCACTTAGACTGAAGTGGAAAAGGTGAGAAGAAGGTTACTTCTTTGGTTCCCACTTCAGGTACATTTATGTACATGCAGCTTGGGTCACATGACAGATGCCACGTCATTGTTGGAGACAGCCACAGCCACAGCCACCTGGGTGTCCCCATGGGGGATCCTGTTAGAACAGACGGATTTGGACAACTCTGGAGTGGAATCAGAGACTTAGCATGGAAGGACCTCAGCCTCAGTGACTCAGGCAGAGCGCTGTGCCATTGCTGGTTGTCCTGGGGGTCCCTAATTTCAGATCTAGCAGAGGGAAAGTCTCTTGGGGGCATTTCAGGTCGATTTTAGACTAAGGCCTAAAACGAGTATGTACAAGTGCCAATATATATAATGGGGAGGGCGAAAGCACAAGGAAACAAAGGGGATCCGAATCGGAACGAAGGCATCTGAATGGGAACAAAGGGATGACAGAAGCGGAGCAGTACCAAAGGTCATAAGGCAGAACCTGTGGTACATCCAAAAGGAGGTAAGGAGGGCAAGGCCCAGAGGGGCAGGAGGATGAGGGGAAGTGGGGATGATGACTAACTGGCTAGAATGGGAAGAAGCAGCAGTCCAAATAGGGATGAGGGGAAAACGCGAGAGATACATTACAAGTGGCGAAAGTGCCGAAGATGATCCATGGAGCTCGGAGGTTGCGGAGCTTACAGAGGTTACGGAGGCAGGGTTGAAAGTCCGAGGAATATTGGCAATGGTGTTTACGTAGTATGAGGTCACCAATGCAATGGACTAAGGCTGAGGTGGAGTCAAAGTCCGAGGTAGGAGCTATGATGGAGGCTCAGAGCAAAGGTACAAGCAGTGTCTGAGTATGAAGTACAGGACAGCAGCAGAAGGCCGTAACTTGGCAGGGGGTTGGCGGAAGAGGACCAGAGGGAAGAGAGAGGAAGGAGGAAGGAGGAAAGGTGTGGAGGAGAGGAAAGGTGTCAGGTCCAAAGGTGAGTATCGGAGCAGATGGGAGAAGAGTAGGAGGGTGATGGAAGGGTGGAGGTGTTGTGGGGAGGAAGCGGAGGAGTGGGAGGAGGAGTAGTAGGAGGGTGGCGAGAGGGGTGGTGTTCGGTCCGAGGTGGGTATCAGAGTGGACGGAGATAGGACAGGAGAGGGATGGAGGAGTGGAGGTGGCATGGGAGGTGAGAGGAGGTGTGGTGCCAGGACCGAAGGTGAATATCAGAACAGACAGCGGTAGGGCAGGACTCCAGAGGTGGTGAAGGAGGAGGTCTGGGAGTCAGGTCGGGATCGGGTATGCACGGATATGACAGATCCTGAGAGCATCCGCTGCAGGCATGCATGCTGGGCACAGCAGGAAGCTGTCCAGGGTGTCTGGGCCAGATGGGTTAACAGTACAGTGATACAAGGGAAAGTAGTCCATGTAAATAGAAGGAATAAACAGGAAGAGGGTGATGGGAAGAATGAAATAAAGGAAAGGGAAGAAAGAAAGAAAAGAAAGAAAAGAAGAGAAGGAGGGAAGAGGGGAAGGGGCACCAGGTGGAGCTGGGTCCAGGGGGCCAGGTGGAGCCTGGTGGAGCCTGGTGGAGCCTGGTGTGCAGGTGTGCCCTGACACTTATCAATCCTGATGTCCATTTCTGATGTCCTCATTCCACTACCTGTCAGGGCACACACCCTGACCTAGCCCACACCTGCACTCACACCTGCACTCGCACCCACATCTGCATGCACACCTGGCCGTTGCACCCCCTGCACATGCCCTGTGCCAGACACTCCATGTGGCCGGATGCCCTGGGCCCCAGGTCTCAGGTCTCATGTGACTTCCAGATATCTCCAGAAGTTTTCGTTATATTGGGCCACTGTGGGAAGGTGAGAAGTTAGCTTCCTTCTCACCTTCTTACCCACAGCAGTGTGCCCTGGACAGGGCTGTGTCCCTTTAGGTTGTGGGCCATGGGGGGGTCATGGGGTCCCATGAGACATCCCCTGACACTACCCTGTACACAACAACATGCAGTAACTATGAGAATTTTGAAGACTCTCCAAATTTACACTCTTCATCAGGTTCCAACATACTGGGAGAAAGCAGTCCTTGACTGCCTCTCTGCTCCTTCCAAATATACGCAATTGTCACATCCACCCATGACCTTGCTCATGAAATTTCCCTGTTAACTTTGCCAAATAATTAGATCCTTTACCAAATGTCCCATTTCACTCCGCTTTTCCATTACTTATACTCTCACTTTTGTCCATCCACTCCCTTACCTTAACCTCATCACTCACCACTGCACTGTATGATGATCAGGGATGATAGTGAGACTCTGTTAGAAACCACCTCCACCTAATGTGGGCATTTAGTGTAATGGTAACACACTCTAGGTACCTATGCAGGGCTCTGTGGTTTGACTCCCAGAATGTCCATATTTTATGCATTAAGGTTCCTGAGACCATGTGTACAAAATCCAACAGACTCTTACTGCATCCCCTTTGGAGTGCATGCTATGTAGGGCTCCTAGCAGATCGGATCAGTCCAGATCCGGATCAGAATCTGCAGATTTTTAGAGGTTTGAAACAAAAACTGCATCTGGTGGATAGAAATCCACGGATATGCGGATCAACCGCGGATTATAGATAATACGTTTCCAAATTATATTTCGTTAGAACGGCCCTGATGAGAGCTTTCTAACAATACCAAATATGTCCATATTGGTGGAGAACTGACAGAGATATGGGGAAAATGGCACAAAAGATGGGTGTCAGATGCCAAATTTGGAAATAACAGGCCTGGGTGGTTAGATAGGACTTGAAAAAATTGGGAGAAAATATGGAAAGATAGGAGGGGTATCTAGGAAAGTGGGATATATTTAATCCACGGATAATCCGCTTATCTGCGAACTAGAAACTGGGGATATTATCCTCTCAAAAGCCACAGTAAAGTAGGAGTTACAGTGAATATGGGGAATTTCACCCTTATTTGCCTCAGATCTCCTGCATATCTGCAAGCAATAAATCATGTGATAAAACTGCGGATAATCCACAAATCCGCGGATTAAAAACCGCGGATATTTTTCTCTGAAAATCCAAAACCGGATCCGTGAATTTCCGGATGCGGTTGCGGATATCCGCAGATCATCCGATCCACTTGGAGCCCTAATGTTATGTGAGTGTCTCTCTTACAGCTATTGAGAGTTGATCTCATTGTCTCCCCACTTTACAGAGTGTCTTCATTCCAACTGTGCCGATATCTCTCCATGTCCGCTGTCCACTGTTGCTCCCACATCCTAAGTCCTCGTACCATATCTTCATTGTGCCATATCTGCACTGTACCATAACTGCGTTCTATTTTCCCATTTTTGCATCGTAACTTCCGGGTTCCATTTCTTCCCTGTACATATTCACGGTTGCTGAATGTTTCTTACTGATCGCCGGAACAATGTATGCTGTGCAGGTTTCAGCAATGCGAAGCACACACTCTAGTCTCAATAATTAGACAAATGTATTTACAAGATAAAATTATATAAAATTGGGGAAAGCATGCGCGGCCTATACAGGCCTTACAAATACCTGAGTTATAAAATATAAAAAATATATTGTTCTCACCTCAGACTCGCAATGTCGTTCGTTGCACAAAGGAGTTTTGAGTTGGACAAAAGCACCAAAGCGCCTCAAAGCATTCACCACAGAACATCCACTAATCCCTTGATGTAATGATATTCTAAGCTGACTAGGAACAATTCCTGAATTCCGAAGTCTGCAGAAAACTCCGAGATCATTTCGAGGGTATTTTATGATAAATTTTGCCTTAGACATCCAAGCATCGTACAGCTGGCCCCATGACCAAGAATCCCAACCCCTGCATTGGTCACTGCATACCAGCTCTGCCAGTGGCCCTTAAGGGCACACAGATGGTGAGGTGCAATAGCATATGTCATAGTACTCCTTGCCCTCCGTCAACACACATACACCCACGCCGATGGAGGCTTGATCCTGAGCAATTCGGGTACACAGTCCGCTAGCGTCGGAGGTCCTCCACCCGGTGAGGTTGGGGTAAACCTCAACATGAACATCACATAGGGTGATGGACAGTGGGGCCCCAAATGGGATGAGGTTGTTGTCGTCGAACACTAAGCCATTGCAGGTGTCTGTTGGGTAAAACATTAGTTAAACGCCAGCAGCATTTCTAGCTTTGGTTCACCGTTGTTTGATGGGACAAACGCTATCCCTAATCTACCCTGAATCTCAGGAGGGACAGGCTCGTGAGTCACTACTCCAAGGTGGAAATGAGCTGCAACGATAGGAAGTAGACTAATTGGGACCAAGGCATTCCAGAATCGCATCATGACTTTTGACGAACTGCTACTGTTATACTGGCAGGCAATGTACGTCATGAGTAGCTATGTATGCAACATGAATCAAAGGGTTCTCACCTCGGTCTGGAGCGGAATGGGTAGAAATTGGGGTAAATCCGGGGGGCTAGGGGTTATATATGGCAGCAGTATCTCCTCAATCTTCGAGGAATATCATATCCCTTGCTTGATGAAAATCCCAAGGTGTCTCGCTGGTGTGTCATTAATATTGCTTATATGCATGTATATTGCAGCTGAGTTGAGACACCCAATTATGTTGAATCAATCAGCACCCTCAGCCGCTCGGTCATCACATGCGGGTGCTTATAGATAGGTCTACTTTCCTTTCAAACCTTCCGAATCAGAACCCAAATGTGCATCGACAATGCCAATATTTGCATGGGCAATTTGTTTTCCGTCGACCATGCGCTAGAGCTGGCAACATGGTAGATGCATCTAGCATGGGGCCATGTATACTTGGTACGATGTAGCCCATTGCACGATCCGTCATACGCCGCTGGCACACATCAAGAACAAGGCGTGTCCAGAGGGAAATTTCGTGCTAGGTTCCAGTGGTGGGCAAGTGAGTGGTTGCCAATCACTGTTCGGCCATCGGACACCCCATTTGCACAGTAGAAGATATCAGGCCTGCATTCATGTACTTGATATTATGCTCATTGATGCGGTGTGTCGCATACAGTGTTTATTGTAACGCCAACCATCTAAGCGAATATATGGGCATGTGCATTGCATCTCAGAGTCATGAGGGATGGATCTGGTTTCTATGTTACATAACGTATTGTTGTCGCTGAGCGGTCGGTTTTCGGCGCGCTTACGGGAATGCGCAGCTTAGTCCTTTATGAGATGTTTGTTTGTTGCGCACCATTTGACCGTGCATCGTCCCGGGGTGAGGGTGCTGCCTTCTCCCCTGCCCTGCGTCCGTGCCTCTAAGGTAGGCGCGGAGGTTTGGCCCTTCCACAGGCCCGTGCTCCTATGGGGATCCTTCGCTCGGTCGACAAGGTCACTCCCAGTATTGCGTTGCAACAGCCGATACCACGACACAAAAGTACTCAGTTTTTGTGACCCGTGTACAGTCACCGGAACGTTTGTCCCATACATGATGCGCGATCGACTGTCCTTTGTTCCCATTTGTGCGTGGCGTGGACGAAAGTCCGGAGAGATCGTGTCCGTTTCCGCTCCACTGTCGAACAATACGAAGACTTTTACACTGGCGATTTCTACTTCTCTGGTAAGTGTGTGCCTGAGTGCCGATGATCGGTCCTCAGGGTATTTCCCAGCTTCCCATGAAATGCGAAACTTTGCGTCAAATACTGGGTGTGGTTTACTCATGGTTTCACCAGGAATTGACGTCCCTGTGGTAGCCTTGCTCTTCTCTCCCTCCTTTCGAGTCGGGGTGATTCCGTCTCTCTCGAAGACTTTAAACTGGCTCGACCAGTTCTGCTACAATGTTTTTTGGTGGAACCGTTAGGGCAGTGTGCTGTCGGAATGTGTATGGAAGGTGGGCCTTCGTGATCGGGTGTGTCGACACATCTGGCCCCGACTCATCATTGATGATGTGAAGTGGATCCACAATGACATGGGCTCTGCAAAACTAGGCTGCATATGAACGAGGGCGGTTAGATGCATGGACTTCAGCGATAGCGATGTCATCCCCGACATATAGTAAATTAATATCGCGCGGAGTAGAAATGTAATACACAAGCTCAGTTCACGAGAACGACGAACTAGATAAACACCGAGAGACCAGCCTTCCCACAAAAGAAAGCCAATAAATGTACACAAAGCGAGAAGAGCTCTTTTTGGAGTGTACGAAGGAGGCCAAGCACTGTAGCAGGCAAGAAGGGTTACACTGCATACCCAGCGTGCATATAAGGCGAAAAATATAACCTAATATCTGGCTGGCCCTGTCTGCCACCAGCAGCAACGGGATGCTCTTCTGTCACATCCCCACTATTCACAACACCCTCATGCTTCTCCGGGTCCTTTAATTCCTTTTGAGACTCAGGAGGCGTACCACTCGTGAAAGCCCACGAATCGAAGTCCCTTCGAACTTCAACGAAATCTTGAACGAATTCTCCGATCTGATCATCATCGATTCCGCGTTCTTCGCCATCTGATGTTGCACGGAGGCTTAGGAAGGGAACGAGATCGGTTAGTTTGGCCAAGAGAGCTGTGACGACGAAAACGTAGCCGGAGACGGCACAGCAGTATACGAATTGTTTGTAGAGCCGGGAATAATTGTGTCCAATCGAGCCACCTAAAGTTGGGAGAAATTTAGCGCGCCCGTACTGTAAGGAACCGGGCAGATATGGAATATGTACCTGTAACATTGATGGTTACACCATCCAATGAGATGACATAGTCTGCAGCGAAGAACCCATTCGCGAGGAGGCCTATGATCCCACCAACTGCGTGTTCAGCGAATATATCGAGCGTGTCGTCAACCTTGAGTAGAAACTTGACTATATGGAGTGGGTGTCACGTCTCATTCTCAAAGGGAAAAGAAAAGCGAGGCGTACGTTTCGTGGCATAGTTACACACCGCACCGGCGACGATCCCCGTTATAACACTTCCCCAAGTGGTAATGAAACCACTACTTGGGGTAGCGGCTACAAGCCCCGCAATCGTTCCGGAACAAAAACCAACCATGGTGAATTTCTTCGTAGACCAATAGTCGAGGAGACACCATACGATCCCACCCTGTTGTATTCGATGTAATGAGGAACGGGGCGAAGAAATGATGCAATGGAACTTACAAAGGCAGCGCAAATATTGGAGTTCCATGCGGCATAGACAGCGCGTAAGTTGGCTCCGAATGCGGATCCCGCGTTGAAGCCAAGCCAGCCGAACCATAGTATAAACGTCCCAAGACAAATCAGCGAAACATTGTGGGGCCTGTGCTCGCAACGGGAAGAAAAAAATAATAATAATAAATGAACCATCAGGAAATTTTGTTGACGTTGCGTCAAAAAACAAACCTAAAGTTGAGCACTTCTCGTTCACCCCGTCGTCCGAGAACCAACGCATATGCAAAACCGCCGATTCCACTGGCAATTTCGACTGGTCCGCCTCCAGCATAATCGAGTACACCCCACTTGGCACCCCATCCGTTGACGCCCCACGCCCACTGAGCAACGGGACAATAGACCAATGTGGCCCAGATGAAGGAAAATATCATCGCCGGCACAAGCCGTCCTCGTTCGGCCACCTACAGCGTAAAATCCAACATTGGACGGATTTGCGAACCATGGAGGAACGCAAAATGAATGAAGAGTAAATGTTGAAAAGAGCGGGATGATATGAGCAAAACACTTGATAACGGTACAACAAACAACGTACTCCACCGACTAGAATTCCAACTGTGACGCAAGCAAATTCCATCTGGAAGAATGCGTATAGGAGAGCGGGGATGAGGGGTGATCCAGGGGAAGGTTGGTCCAGCACACGCATTAGACCAAAATGATAAAGGTTTCCTAGAGAAAAAAGAAAAGAAAAGAAACTTCCGTGAGCAACTTCTGGGGTAATATATATATAGTTGTTGAACTCACCAATGAATCCATTCGTCGCTGTTTCGCTGAAAGCTAAACTATACCCCCAAAAGTACCACTGGAAGATCACGACGGCATTGGAGAAGGAGACAGCCCAGAGCAATGAAAGAGCATTTTTGCGTCGGACGAGACCACTGTAGAGGAACCCTAGGCCCGGTACCATGAACAGCACAAGTGCCGAGCTGAGTAAAATGAATGATATGTCGCCCCTGTCATACGCCTGGTCTATATCTCCTACAGTCATTCAAATAACGATCGTTAGACCCGGGGTCAAGAGAGTGTGGTTAGTTAGTGAGTAAAAAAAAAAAAAAAGGGACCTGGTTGCTCACTTTTTGCGAACATTCTTTGAATACGGAGCGTGAGGGGAGGGTCAAGAGAGCACTACTGCTAACGTACGGCGGAGGGAGAGGGGTTGAAGGGAACTGGGGATTTTCCTCAATGTGCCTTTGCTCTTTGGGTGACGGTCTTTTTATGAAGCCGTTCATGATCACGGAACTGCTTTAGTATGATCGAATAGGAACAACGTCTGGTTAGTGAGATATTCTTATCATGAAACGGGGGGGAAGGGGGGGAAAGGGGAAGAAACGTTCTTGCAGACGATCGACTTGGGGCTGGGTTGTGGAGGCGCAAAAATTTCGGTGGATCAACTCACTCACTAGTTGTTGAACGTCCTTATGCATACAACGATCCATCAGATGACTAGCCGAATTTGGTTCAAGGAAGGACTCAGTTACCTGGTCGTTCGGCTGATGTAACCTGTTTCAAAGCAAGGAAAGAAGAGGAAAGAATCAAGGATGCCGCAAAGTCGACTTCCTTTTTCTTTTTTTTGCGTGGATATGTGTATGTGTATTTTCGACCTCGTACATACGCTCCGAAAATGCATGGCCGGGCCAAAAGTTTTTTTTCGTTTTGGCATACAAAACCGCAAAGGAGTGCCCTATGTAGAAGTCGTTATGCGTGCGTGAGTATCACTGAACTTGGAAATCGTCACTTTTGATGTGGGGGGGGCACGCACCCGTTTCTTTTTAATTTCTGTGCGAGGGATTACCGCTTCAACCATCCGTCGTGGGAATATATTCGATCGCCTTCTCGATGGCTTTTTTCCCCGCCATGCACTTTTTATTCTGTAAAACAGCTGATCCTCATGTATTTGCCTCACGTACTAATGGGTATCATATGATATGTAACCAGCAGATGAAGACGCCTTGGGTGGACGACGTTGCATGCAGCACCAGTGACAAATATGCCCAGGGGAGTCCGATGAAAAGAAGATGCGCGATGGAGCGCAAAAAAAAAACGTGTTTAGAGAACAGACCATCGTGGGAATTGAGACACGCGACGCCGAGTAAGGCCTAGTGCAAAAGCGCCGGACACCCTCGTTTGATGATTACTCCAGAAAGGAGTACCACGCTCTATCGCTCTCATTTCCCCGAGGGTATAGAGCCCTCACCGGGACTCAACATTTCAAGTGAGCCATTTTTTGTTCTGAAAAACTATTCACAGTTGATGGGGACGATCGAATATAAGCTCACGATGCTCACAATGATGGAGATCAAAAGGGCCCATGGGTACAAGGGCATGAACGTTTTCATGCAGGAGGAACAACCTTCCTGATTCGCTAGAAGAGGCGCATTTCCTTCGGTCCAGGTACTTGTTTTTTTTTTTTTTTTGAACTCGTATTACATCGTTTGACGCAACTAACACAGCTGTAGCACATATAATGTGATGCGGTGGAATACGGGACTCTGAACGTTCAGAGCAAGTCCCTACCCTTCCCTTACCCGGACCCCTCCTCCGCCTCCTCCGCCCTCGCCCCCACAAAACGCACGCAAAATATTGTTCAGCCATTACTGCGCAATTCCAAACCAGATAATTAACCACCCCATTGGGTGGGTCTTTCAGGCGATTCATCCCGAACGAAGACCCCAGCCATGCAATGTATGTGGAGAACTCATCAAGATCGACGGGAGAGCATATTCACAGGGAGAAAAGGAAAAAGTTACTGAAAAGGTATTCACGGGCCATCAATGTTGTGGGGAGCCGCATCATCTTCCCCCAGTGAGCATGCAACAAAAGCGTCAGAATTCACGAGGCAAATTCTCAGTCATCAGTGGCAGTTGGAAGTGACCAAAAGATCAGCCCTCCCTCTCCCCCACTTCTGCCTCAGCGAAAGGAAAGACCTAGGATCAAGCCCCGGTTAATATTAATTGTCATGGCATTCCTGGACACAGTGTGGCGCCACTTTAAATCTCCTTCCACGTCTTCATACCAAGGCGTCCGATTTTCACACACATGTACCTCTTGACTGGCTCACTCCTCTGAAGGGGAGCATAAGTGAGTGTGAAGCTGACTCGCGGGCGAGTACGTTGCTCTATGAACGACTCAGTGGCACTAAGTCCCAACACCAACTTCACGGACGGTCACCGGTCTACTTTAGTAGAGGCTGGGATCCTGCCTAGGTCACCGGAGCGATGATGCCCGAGCAAAAAGCGCTGAAATTAAAGCTCCGCAACCGGGGCCGAAGTCTAGTTTGAAAAAAAAAGAGGGGGAGAAATTAGGTTGCCGAGTAGATGATCATATGGCGTGCAAGAGGTCCACTCGGGTGGGTCTCCTTGGCGTAAATGAATTTGAAATTTGAAATGACTAAAACTGGAAAAAGCCGAAGATCAAGGGCTTAACATCAGTCCCTGACCCATTATGTATAAACTCCCTCCGAATGAGGAAATGGCGTTGTCTCAATCGAATGGATAAAAGACCATAACGCCTCTGTGTCACATCGGCACAACGAAAAAAAGAGCCGATGAGCTCGCAACACTATGTATGTAAGATCCGAAAAAAAAAAAAAAACAACTCCAACCATGACCCGGCCAACCCTGTGCTCCCCTTTACCCAAAATTAAGCCAATCAACCTATTTCGAAACCAATAATCCCTGAGGGTTCAGCAAAGAAACGATAGAAAACCAGAACCACATTAGAGACATTCTACTGCCCTTGCCCCCGACCACAACCTCATTTCACTCGCCATGATACCGAAAAACAAGAAGGAACTGAACCCTAACCTTAGCTAGAAACTTCCTTTGAAAACTGGTCCATGGCGCCCATAAAGACGGCCTCTATTATAGCGAAATCTCCAGCTGCGAAGATCGGAGCCATGAATGCTCGAAATTGTGGCATCACCGATTCGAATGAACCACACCATGCATCTTCGTGCCCGCCCGAAACTTTGGGTCGTTGTAAGAAGCATGAGCTTGACGAAAGGATTGAAATCCCCCCCTAAAAGTCAAACGGCAAACGGCAACCGCAATACATGGCGTGACTAGATTATAACCATCCTCGAGTACGTACCTACACCTGGGAAATATGGAAATTGAGATGTAAGAGAGTCCTTGGAGACGACGTAGTTCGGGCTTAACCAAAATCAAGCCATAAACACTTTCAAAGCCGTCATGAATGAAAAAACTAAAGCAAGACAGAAATTTCACGTACAGGAAGAAATACCACAATAAAGCTCCTCCCCGACTAGCTTGTTCTACACACCTGGGAACTGGAAAATGGATTGTGCCTCCCCGAGAATTGGCCTCCGTGGTCACACGGTCTTACCAGTACGACACCCCGTGCTCATATATAGAGGCACCCATCATCAACCGTTGGAAGGCACAAGCCTTCAGACATCGATCCTGCCCGCGAAAGCTACCGAAGGTTTCCACCAAAAAAAAAAAAACAAAAGAAATCTGAATTGTCGACGAGTTGAAATCAACACCATGCATGCAAACATCGTCCATGAGGGCAAGCCGCTCATCGTTGGTTCGACTCGAGGCTTACTACCCTGATGCCCAATCGTTGACCTGTGAATCAGTAAGACTTATAATTGATGTGGCGCCGGTGGCGGGTATTACTTACTCGTGAGGAGACTACCGCTGCCTTAGATCTTGTTGCGTGGCATGGGATGAAACTCCCCCTTGTGAAACGCTGCTTCTCTTGTCAGTGTAGTGTGTGCAACTACAATGTTAACATATCGGGTGTCCGCTAGTCAGCACGCAATTTTATTCCGCCGCAAATGCATGCGCATGGATATATATCCATACGAAATGACTCACCTACGCATCACCACCGTTCTGCTGTCTTCGACGCGCTCGAAAGTGTTGGCATATGCACCGGAGGAGGGTCCTGCTCATGGTGTGCCTCACGATGTCTCCAGGCTGCAGGTACATTTACTCCCGTACTTGATATTTCGTGTGCGTGTCCGTCATGAGTTGGTACCCATCGATCCCCGCCGTGTCCTGCGCGTCGTGGAAATAATGACCTTTGTAAAGTCAAACAACGAATCATCGCTGGTATGCGCCTCTGATCTGCCGCTGATCCCGGGCGCCTGACGCGCAAGCTCCCCCAGTTCCGAGATCGCTGTTCATTGAGCGCTTCATGGCCTGGTCCCTGCGGTTCCCCTTCCCCTTCGGCCGACGCTTTCGACCCTTCCATATAACACACTTATGAACGTTCGCATACACACAAAGCTCTCACTCTCCCAGCTTCATCCGATCGGCTAAACACAGAGCTAACTGTCATCGCCGTAGAAGAAACTCATGGCCTTGGATGCATGATAATGTAAACACTCGAATAGGGCTTTGAGATGGAAATCGGCTCGAAGGACATGGATGTAGCACTAATATACAACAACTACATATTATTACAACGACTTGTTCGCTGTTCCAAACTGACCGACTTTCTCTCTCTCTCTCTCTCTCTCTCCCAGCTGTTACTAATTGTATTTATATACATCTTACTTCAACCCGGGCGAAAATCACACTACTTTCCCCACGATGTTATACCGCTTGGAAAAAAAGTCGTACCACTGGTTAAGCACTTTGATTTCGGAATCTTCAAGCGTACTCCAATCGGAGACGGCATCCTCTGGTTTGAGACTTGATTTGCCTAAACCACGACTTCCATCTTTTCCGGCGAAAATGTGATAACTGCCGGTGGGACCGTAGATGTGTGGCTTATCCGACACGTCGAACACGGTGCCTGGGTGGGTGGTGTTTGATTTTTAATAAGAGAAGAAGAAGAAGAAAGGTTAAAGGGGAATTGGTCATGGTGTGTGGGAAATAAGAAAGGTGATGAGAGAGACGTCGATCTGGATAGATTAGTGTTCATGCTTTCCGTACCTTTGATGGCGAGATAGATGGGTTTCCCAGGTTGTGAACCATCGAATTGTTTAAGCTCGTCCAACGTAATGGGATCATCCTTTGGGGGAGCGAGATCCGTTCGAGGAGGGGACATAACAGACATTGTAGCGGTAGTCGGTGCAAGAAGGGATGATGTAGATGTAGATGTAGATGTGGATGGAGCAGCTCCGGAAGATGAAGGTTGAGAAGGTTTTGGGTATTTAGGTTGCTTGTCGGGGGAGAGAAAGGTTTTGAAAGTGATGTGAAGCACGAAGAGGACGAGTGCTGAGAGTGCTACGGTATAGCCCGAGCTGGAGAGCTGCGAGAAAGTCTCTTTGATCAATCCAATTATCGTCATCAGCCCGAACGTGAGATTATTGAATCGATTATGTAATCCGGGAATCACATAGCGCGGCGTCTTTTTTACACGAATCAGGTGCCACTCTCTCTCCCAATCCCCATGTATCCCACAACGTCCATGGCAGCTCTACGCATCTCATCCAAACCAAATCGTGCTTTGCTTCAGACTGCTGCTCGCTTTCACACTGGTTCGTTATCGGAGTTGATGGTTAATGAAAGAGATCGTTTTGACCCCCTTGCGTCTAGCTCGCGTGAGCGCGGTACAGGCTACTATCCCTCGTCGAACTGAGAGCGATGCCTTTGCGTACAAAGCAGGAGGACGCAAGTATTACTTTACCCATCTTATGATTATTGCTTTACGACCTTACACATGATAGCCATATGGCGTGATGGACCAAACGATGCAACACCTTTCCCAACTCCATCTAAAGTAGAAGGTTCTCACCATTGGTCATACGAACGTCTTCTCTCAGCGGCTCTTGTTCCCTTGACTGCATCTGCAGTGGCCGTCTCTGGTTCGGCGCACCCGATCGTCGATGGAATGCTAGGAGTCGCTCTTGTCGTTCATTCTCATATCGGTTTCGACGCTGTCCTAGTGGATTATCTTCATGAGAGAAAGTTCCCTGTGATCGGACAGGTTGCCAAGTGGGGGTTGAGGTTTGCCACGGGTGGTGCGCTCGTTGGTGTTTATTCGTTTAACACACAAGATATCGGTAATGTTTTTTTTGGATGCCCCCTTGGATGATGATTTGTGGTTAACCAAAAAAGTGTGTTTAGGTCTTACGGAGTTCGTCAAGGGCGTTTGGACTGCTTGAACTTGGATCTTCGATTACACCTGTAGCACCTATGTGAAAAAAGTACAGCAAGTCATAATCGCCCTGAAGTTCCGGAAAATACAGTAGCAATTAGTCCATGAGAACCTGGTTGCTTTTGTTGTCTGCTGCTGCTTTAACTTAGCCATGGAGGTGGCCAACCTGGTGAAAATACCTGCCACTAGTCTGGATCGTCTCAAGGTCTCTGAGTGAGAGAATTCAAGTAGGATAGAGTGGCTTGTCCGACAAGACCATCTTCTGGGTTCCATTCAAAACCTTCGATCGCCCATCTCCATATCTAAATTGCAACCGTGTGGGCGGGGAAGGACAAGGTATTTATGGCAGGAAACAAGGGGACTAACCATATATCGGGCTAATTCTTTGTCACTTGGGGTGACATTTTTCCACTCTTCAAACCCGAGTGATGGTGAAAGGACGTCACTGGCCGTGTCAGAACCATCGGCGTACTTTTCGGCCAGCAGTGCCAAGGCTTCTTTTTCTCTTGAAGCCGCTCCCCCACCAGACATGTAAGGGGAAAATATCCGAAACGAATCTAGAGCATAAGGACCTACTCCTGGCAGGTGAGATATGGGTGTGGGAGGATAGTGTGTCCCGTCTGTTCGCTTCTTGGGGCTTGTAGGTTTCCGGAGGTTGGAAAAATCTGGAGGGTCAACGAGGAAGGCATGACTGAGCAATATCATTCTTGATGCTCGCTTGACGTGTAACCCAATTGGCTTTAACATTTCTGTCAAAATAGGTACTGGGGCTGAATGATTTTTTTTTTTTTTAATCGATTTCGGTATCGTGCCAGTAAGATCCAATGAAAGAGATCCCGACCTTGAATCATTGCGGATGGATTTTGCCATTTGTCGAGGATATCCCGGAGGATGGGAAGTGCTACTGACGCGCGAGTGACATTGCACCTAAACTTTGCTCAGTTAAGTATCGGAATAGGAAAGGGGAGGGGGGGTTAATTTTAAAGGGACAGACATACGTACATCATTGTAGCCTGGAAAAAAAAAGGTCAACAATTGCTTCGTGAGGGACTTTGGCGCAAATGAGAAAAATAAATAAGCTCTACCACGAGTAACTTCCAAGTGTCCTCGCGAAGCTCTTCTGATACGAAGCGAGACTAAGCAAATGTATTCATACTAAGGAGAAGTTGGGAACCTTGTATTAACATGGGCTTGCACGGTTCCAGTGCATGTGTTAGATCGAGGCCACAGAGGCGAAACGGCCCAATTCCCGCCTCTGGTGAAGATGATTTTGACGGGGATGTGTTCAACGACGTAAAATTGCTTTTCCGAGAGGGAGAAAAGTATACAGATGTCAATTGCGGGCTTTTGACATCCGCCTTGACTTGCTTCCTCGGTCGAGGCGGAGTGCATGGCTCTGCTCGTCCGGGACCAGTTTTCCGGCGTCGTTGTACTTCAGATCGAGTTCGGCGTCTCGCAAAGGATTCCGATTTCCTTGATAGGTCTCCGGAATTCATGGAAATAATTTTCAGAGTGTAAAAAGAGTTGCGGCAATCCCCGTAACACTTACCTCTCTTGCTATATCACATAACAACTCAGGGCTCGCCACCTTGAAACCACGCCTAGTTTTTTTCTTTTTTTTTTCTCTCTGGCATGGAGGAGGACTCCTTAGCCACCACCGAGGTCCTCAATAGCCTATCACAGGCACTCTCTAATCTTATATTGGGTGATAATCAGATTCGCAACGAGCAAGTTGCTCTGTCTATCCGATCCTACGATTTGCACACTAATTATTTGAATGGTGGGGGCTTTTCAGTGCTGAGCGCCTTTTGACAGAGAAATGGCTCGCGACTCAACCAGAGGCGGTCATCCTTGCCCTTGCACAACTTACCCGCCAAGCTCAAGATGAGAACGTACGCGTGTTTTTTAAATCTTACAATCAGACTAAATGCTTTTTTTTCTTTGGTCGTTGCACAAGCTCATCACATTTTTTTTTGGTTGTTGGTTTTAGATGCGCTCTTTTGCTGCCGTGCTGTTACGAAGACTCGTTTTTCGACCCGTACCTCCCGATCCTCACAGGGTGAATCCAACACAAAACCTTACTATTTATGATCACCTCTCCGAGGACACCCGGTTTCGAACTGAGCGTGCTCTCTTGAGGTGTCTTCGACAAGAGCAGAATGATTCTGTGCGCAAGAAAGTTGCGGATACTATCACCGATCTTGCTATTGGTAGCATGGAACGAGGGAGACCGTGGCCAGAGCTCCAGTCTACCGTTTTCGATTGCACGCAATCGCATACTATCGGGCATCGAGAGAGCGCATATCGAATTCTTGCTAGCGTCCCAAATTTGATTCTGGACCAGGACGTAAACGTCGTTCTGCAAGTGTTAGAAGGCGGACTTAAGGACACGCAAAGCATCGATGTGAGTCCGCCCCCATGACGACGCCCTATTCGGGATTGAATCATCGAGTAATTGTTAATCTAGGTCCGACATGCTGCTCTTCGCGCGTCAACATCGTATCTGAGCTCGGCGGACGCTCACACTCAAACGCAGGCTGTTGGACTGATGCATCCTATGCTTAATGTCAGTGGTGATGTGTCATCCTCATTCGTGCCGTTGTGCTTCTTACGATAATATTACGACACAGACATTACTCCCATTATCGCACGATCAACTTTCTCAATTCCTCCGAACACTTACGCCTCTCACGACCTCGCATCCGATCCTATTCCGCGAACACATGTCATCCCTTCTCACTTTTCTCGTACCTTTGATCCTCTCACCCCCACCCCTCGCCGATCTTTCCGAAGCAACACCGACAGTTGGTAACCCCGAACCTAGATCACACGCATTTACCTTTCCTTCAACGCCGACTGCCGCCAATCCTCATGGATCAACCATCACCAATCCTCGTTTCGCGTTCCCTCCGCCTTCAGGCCTTATCGCCAATTCTAATGGGCGGCATGCCAACGGGATTCCCAGCGCCGAGGATGAGGCGAGAGATTCTATGAGGCGGGCAGCTCTCGAATTACTGATCAGTTTAAGTGAAGCTCGTGCGGGGATGGTGAAGACGTGTAACGGTTGGGTTAATGGTGTTGTTCGGTGTTGCCTTGAGGGTATGGCCGAGATCCGTGATGATGGCGGTGAAGCAACGGTGCGGTGGAGTGAGACCGAAGAAGTATGTTTATTTCTGGTGAGGTTGTCGGCCTTGCTGACCTTTTCCCCCTACACAGCCTGCCGAAGACGACGACGATTACGGCTATCAGCACGTCTTTGAAGAGGCTCTAGATCGCCTAGCATGTGCAGTTGGTTCGTCTTTGTGCGAGTATGAAATTAAGAATACAAGTGACTAATTTCTATCCTTGGTGCAAAGGCGGAAAGGCGCTCCTGCCCGTTGCGTTTATGTACATACCGGCTTTACTTTCCTCACCGGATTGGATGCAGCGGCATGCTGGGTTGATGGCTGTTGCTGCCATTGCTGAAGGGACGCACCATATCATGGAGAAAGAACTTGGGAAAGTCGTGGGGTACGTCCCGAGAGTGTCCCTAAGGAACGCCCAAAGAATGATCCACACAATCTTGTTGTAGTTTGGTTACTCCTATGTTCAAGGACCCTCATCCGCGTGTTCGCTTCGCTGCCTGCCAGTGTTTGTTCGTGGCCTCCGTGGTATTATTCTATAACCAAGCATTGACGATCATTATAATTGCAGAGGCCAGCTGTGTACAGACCTCGAGGTAAGTTTCTTGTTGGAATGCGTTAACCCGTGTTTTGTTCTCAAACGACCCCCCCCCCCAGGAAATAATTCAAGATCGTTATCATGAAGAGATCTTCTCGGCCCTGATTCCAACACTTCAAGCTCCAGAACCGAGGTTTGTATCATTCTTCTGTGCCAGAACTCGACTTACAAGGCTTACGTGAAGGGTGCATGGCCATGCTGCAGCCGCAATCATTAATTTTTGTACGGGTGTGGACGGTGAAACTCTTAAACCGTATCTGGACGCAATCGTCGAAGGCTTGTTGCGGATGTTAAATGCAAACAGCAAGCGTTATGTTCAGGAACAAGCAATAACAACTCTTGCGATGGTTGCCGATGCTGCCGCAGAGAATTTCCGAAAGGTAATGCACAGCTTCTATTTGGAATAAACTCCCACTTAATTTCTGATATTAACTCCTGCCTAGTTCTATCCTATGATCATGCCGAATCTTATCAATGTGCTTCGGACTGCTACGGATCCGGAAATGAAGCAGTTACGTTGCAAAGTGATGGAATGCTGTGGACTCATTGGTGGGTAGCTCTGTTCCAGACTATGATGGTGTCTAACCCGCTGCCCTTGAAGCAATCGCCGTCGAGAGAGATACTTTCGGTCCAGACTCTGTGGAGTTCGCTAACCTGCTCATGCAAATTCAGAGTGAGTGATGCAATCTAATTCTTATCTTATCCGCAATAACACGGCGACCTCCTAGACGACACTAGACCGGGCGACGAGATTACCCATCAATACTTGATGTCTACATGGGCGAAAGTTTGCCAAGCACTTGGTTCATCGTTCGAGCCGTACCTCAGTTTCGTCATGCCCTCTCTTCTTAAATCCGCTGCTGTTAAAGCTGATATTTCCTTCATCGGTGCGTTCTACTGAATCGTCACTTTGAGTTCGTTCTCATTAAGTCTGTTTAGAAAATGACCGTGTCGCTCCTGAAAGGGAAGGTTGGGAAATTATCGAAATGCAAGGCCAGCGTATCGAGATACGGACAGCATCCTTGGAAGAAAAGTGCTCAGCGTTCGATGCTCTATTAATTTACTGTCATGTAATGGGCCCCGTTTTCGCACCCTATGTATCCCAAACCCTAAACCTTGCTATTCCTGGGCTACGCTTTTACCTTCATGATGGAGTGCGAGAAGCCGCCGCTATGTACGTGTACTAGGGTTTTGTGGGGGCTCACTGTATGTTAACCATCATCGTTTGTAGGCTAATATCTCGGCTTGTCGAGTGTGCGAAGGACTCCAATGCGGCAGACGAGTCTTTCGTAAACGGGGTTTTTATACCAATCATTGATGCCATGCCGACCGAACCCGACGCGGGGTTCCTTTCTTCCCTTTACAAGTGCTTTTCCGAAAGCGTTCGGTCTGTCGGTACCTCCGCGCTGTCCCGGGACTTAGTGAATGGTTTCATCAAGGCAACGCAGAACCAGCTGCACTCGTTAGCCCAGAAAAGGAGATCCCGGGCAGATCGTGTTCATGGCCGGGATTGGGACGAAGAGAAAGAAGACATCATGCTAATGGAGGAGATGGAGAGCTTCGCTTTGGATGAGATGCAGAAAGCGCTGGAAGTCTTAGATCCCTCGCACCCATTGCTCCCTGCTGTTGAGAGTGTCAAAGGCATGCGTTTGAGCAGCGCTTACGATTCGGATTACGAAGAAGACGATGATGATCCTTGATAAGGATGAGACTCATTTTTGGACACTTAGGTGTATAAAGGTATAGTTTCCGTGTACAAGTAATCCTCACTTCACTCGTTCATAACTACTAGTACGTAATTTCACCATTTGACGTATGGCAAGAATTTTCCATCAAACGTGCTGGAGGTAGAGCCTCGTCAGCCCACACGACGCATGTCACTTCCAGGACTGGCTTGGAAAATGATGACTTACATCACAGCGCGATCACCTGGATATAATTGCGCTCAGAGAAATTGGGATTTGGGAGATTTACCCATTGAACACACCTTTCGGGTCGGGTTTCTTTTCGACGTGCACCTTACAGTCGATCATTGATACAATCCCATCTCCAAACTAATAATTCCAGGAAATAAAGGTATGAGACTCCGCTCTTCCATAGAAAAGCATATATCCTCCACCTTCTCATGAATCACAGCCTGGCTCAATTGATTGAGCAAGACATGTATAGCGAGACATTGTCTTTAATTCATCGACCCACTTTGATGGGCTCACCATAAACCATAACACCCTGAAGAGAGTAAGATGAGAGCGAGCGACAAAGTGCGAATTATTTCCGACGCCAACCTCATACAACCGATAGATAACTGGATCAGTCGGGGGCATTTGCGTCAAGGCTCCGCGATGCGGCCACCATTGTGCTCCAAGTTGTCTGAAGGACTGATCACTGATTCCGAGTACTTCAGACAATCTTGCAATATCTTCAGCGGTCGGCTTGGCCTGATTGAAAAAGATTCAGATCGGGGCAGTGAGTCTGATGAGCTCACTAAATGTGGATTGGAAATGCATGGCGCACCTGCCCGTAGAATAAGGCTGCGACCCAAACCTCATCACGTTCAAGTTCAGAAGCTATTTTCTCAAACGTTAGACCCTGAGCATCAGAGTGCATCAGATGGTTGCAGCTTCAGCAGGCTCAAGTATTGAATGAAGGATAACCTTTCGAGCTTTGGCTTCGAACAAAGCTTTTAGAATAGGATCGAGTGTAGCATAGGGTAAAACTTCAGTACTCTGATAAGATCGGAGTGCGGGATGAATGATGTCTGCTGTCTAGATTTGAGGTCATTAGCGCAGCAGCTACTCACGGGGACGATGGGCATGGTTGGCGAGCGTTGGCAATATATATGGCAGGAGGCAAGCAATGATGAGTTACTACGTGACCTCTGAAATGGAATATATTACTGGTGCACGTCGACGAAAGTGCAGAGGGAATATAAATAAATCGTAGACAGTAATAATTAAAGTAGTGAGTCCATCTTGCTGAAGACTTCCATAACAGATGCTACTATCTCGAAACACAGATCCTCGGGATCGGGCATTTCTTTTTTCGCCTCTCGTACAAGCTCATGCAATCCCTCGACTTTATTTGTCTCCACAGAGCTACCGCCTCCAATATTGATATGACGTTTTGAGCCTCCAGGATTACTGCTACCGAATGGCCATACCGAGAACTCCGCGAGAATGTCGTCACATCGGGCTAGACATGCTTCTCTTGCTTCATATGGGAGCCGCTGCAGAGGATTCTCTAAAACACTAGCAGCCATCGCGGCACATACGAGGCACACGGCACGAGTTACCCGGCACCCAACGTCGACTTTGTCAAGAGCAGAGGGAGGGATGGCAGTAGTCCGTGAAGAAAGAAGGGCAATGATACGTAAATTGATTTCTTCTTTGACTCGGCCATCAGCAACGGGGTGGGTGGCCATATCGAAAAGAAAGAAGTTTCGTTTCTCGGTCCGCAGGACACCTTTATCGACGAGGCCTTTCGCGATTCGTTCCCGTACTTGTTTTAGCTGGAACCCGATCTTCATAACATTCCATGTCTCGCCTGTGACGAGCAATGACGTGAGGAGAATGAAAGATCCGTGTACTCATAGATGGCTTACCACTCATCAGATCAACCCAATTTCCGACCCCCATTTTTTCATTTAACTTAATCATTTTGAGAGCTTCATCTAAGAGTGTCTCTCCTGTTTGCCGCTCATCAATGACTTCAATATATCGATCAGGCAAAGGGTAGCGCCGCCTGTTTGGATCTTTAACCATGGCAATCCGCCGGCGGAGGGCAAGTTCGAGTATTATACACCCACGCAGGGCATACGAAATGTTGTCATTTAAAAAGGACAGATAACCCTGAGTCCATGTGAGTAAGTGAGTTGGCATGGTACATTGCATCCTGAACTGCACCTGTTTGTCTTTTAGCCCAAGAAGCAACACTTCTTCTAACAATGTCAACCTCGGGAGCTTTCCGCCCTCCTCCTCCGTATCGAATAGATCCCGGGGGTCATACGCAACCCTATGACCGCCTTCGAGGGCGTTCCCGGCGTGCACTACGCCATTACTATTTGAGATGGAGCTGGGGAGAGACCCTGACTGAGCCAGGGAGGCAGAATGCGAGTGCCCCGCGGACGTGGCATCGGAAGCAGCACCATTTGGTGAAGACGCGCCCGGCACTCGTCGTCGATTGAGCCCCGAAGCCATCACAGACGCAGCCGCGCAGTTGGCAAAGACGCGAAAACAGTATATCTACTGCCTTGGTACTGCCTCGCGCGGAAGAAAGCGCGCTGCTCACGTGGCTTCTTCCATTGTTGAGCAACCTCGCGACAATTTTTCTCCTACCTTCCGAATCTCGATGCATCACTCACACCTAGATATAAGACCTATACCATTTCATCCCTGTCTCAAACATCTCTCACCCGCTCGCTGACGACGAAGAAAGGCTCATTTGTTGTGGCTCGCATGTAATCTTCCCCTTATATTTAGTGGGGCCTCTCTCACTCACTCGTCATCAGGTTATTCCCCTGATGCTTGGTGGCCTTTCTTGTTCGAAAATCTCCCTTTTTTATTGCATCCACATATGATCCGGTAAGAGCCACATCTATCGGGTCAGGATGATCTAGGGGGTTTGCGATGGCGCAACTCACTCCCACATCTTATCTTTCTTCTGGGAATGAGTCTGGGGTGTTGGAAATGCTGAATCGTGTGGGGACACTTGCCCTCGATATTAGAGCTCGTTTTGTAACATCACGGTCACTTCTCTTTGCGAAGTCGGTATTGCGTACAATATCAGTCACGGTAGCTAGGGAGTGGGTAGTCGCTTGAAAGAGGCACATCATTACCCCTTCAGTTTGTTCCTTACCGCCAGCCATGTAGGAGTGGAAACTCCCCTGCACAGGGACAACCTTCCAAAGCACTCCTTGTTCGTATATGCACCTCTCCACGGCCGCTATTCATTCTCCTAGACGATATATAGATATCATCGAAGTACGCGAATGGCATTTTTGCCCGATGTCTTCTGTAAATTTGAGTTCTTTCTGCCATGCTAACCATCTTGCACGTACAAAGCAACGAGTGATACGGCTATTCTCGAATTACTGCGTTTCAAAATAGTGAAGTCTTCGACAATGGTGTTGCAATTTGCAATTTTAATTTTCACAGTTTCAACAGCCGTACTTTCCAATGTGGGTGCTCGCACATGGAACACCCGGGTGTTTCTAGCCGCTGGAGTGAAGTATGAGAGAGAGACTTGGCTTTCAGATCCAGTCCCAACCGTAGTTGTGCTGGATGTCTTTTCGGAAGCATTGATCGCTTTTTGGGCTGCCATTTAAACGATCAATCATCCTTGTCTCCCATAAATCATGCATCACTCTTCAGCTGACGATGCGTACATGGCTGGGCTCCGCTATGCACTCGTGGCATTATTGGTCCCAAAGTGTCAGATCTGGATCCCCCTCATTCAGCGAAAGGTAGTAGCCCGGGGGGCCATTTAGACACCTACCATCTAGATTGCACGTCGGCATGTGACGGGCGACGGGCGCAGTTTGACTGTCCGTTCCGATTGAAAGCCATAGCTTCATTTGACGCCGGGACAGTCGGGCATGGGGTCTGAGCAAGCAGGTTGGGCGTGTGGAATCGTGCATACGTGCATGAGCCGGAAGCGTTTAATTTGACCAGTTTCTAAGAAGCACCCGCAACCTGTGCGGATTGCAAAAAAAAATTGTTAGGCTGAGGCTGAAATGATAAATATGCCCACGGGCGTGATCACAGCGTTGCTTATTTCAACGTGGATGCCGTACAGGTGGAGAGATAGATATCTTTATCTCTGTCAATAAGGATATAAAGGATGTGTGCATGCATTACATACCCATCAGAACATGGCGCTGCAGTCAATGAATTCACCCTCTCCATCTCCCTCCGAACGGCATCCATCGGTAGGGCTTGCCCGCACATCTGTATCCAGTTAGCCAGTTCAGTCTGCAGTGCTCGAAGTGTAATAGCGTGAAATGGCATGTCCCCACTTGGCCACCTTGTCTAGCCGTTTGCAGCAGTGGCGGCGCATCACAATCACATCGAGTTGGTTGATCCCCAGAGCCTTGGTCGAACTGTTAGTGGAAATAATGTAGGCAGGATCCCAGCCTCTACTAAGGTAGACGAGATAGCGGTACGAGTAGCACACACCGAACATCCTATCTATCACACCGTGCGATATCGACTTACGGGGAGGGTTGTGAGCCGGAATGGAAGTTCATAAAAGCTTACATGTGGGCACGGAGGGTGTGAGCGGAACGCGGGGTTCTATGTTGGAAAGTGGTCAGGCGGCACCAGTGGAGATGGGATTCGAAGAGCAGCCGGCGCATAACTCTACGAGGAAAAAGGCACAATAGTAGTCTCCCTTTTTCCCGTACAGTAATAAACTATGTAGTGTTTTTGGACACGGAAATGCATGGATGTGTGTATTACTACGTGGGGGACCGGGGCTCCACAGTAGTCCCCAGCGTCACTCCGCTGGGGGATCTCCGCAGGAGCCCCCGGAAGGCGGTATTTGAGGGGGTGGCTCCTCGTTGTTGCCCATAATGATCTCATAGTTAATGTACACTCTGATCAACAATTTCCCCCCTTTCCAACTATTTGCCCCATAGGTCATTGGTCAGGCGTCCCTAACTCACGAGTCACAACACATGCTAATTTCCCTCGATATTAATGGGTGACAAGGTTATTCATGCGCCGAGGGGTGCAGTACTGCCAGCAAGCTAGCTCCGCTAGCTAGTCATTCAATTCAGTTTGAGGGAAAACCAGACTGCAGTGGGATCGACGCGCTTCCACGGTGTTTGATTTGGTAGGATCTTCGGGGTTCGTAATTTACAAGTTCGGTGCTAAAGAAAGGAATAAATTCGGGTGAATTCGAACGGTTGGGTCCGTGCGGCTGTGTCAAGTACATGGAAAAACTGGCATCCACCTCTGTCAGAGCTGACTCAGCCAAGTCAGCTGGCGTGCTCTAGTGATTGTCATGGGAACAGCTAGTTCAGCTCTACGGCAACTACGAGATGAACTCCGTGCCGGCGATGCTATGCCTCGACTCACAACTGTCGTCGAGCATGCGGTGCATTGATCCGACGTGGGAAAGTCTAGCGTACGGAGCTTGTCACCTTAAAGACACCCTTCTTCCTATTTGCTATAGCAGCTTAATCCTGAATGGGCGCCGGGCAGTGTTTCCCCGCGCCTGAACACGCGAGGGTGGTGGCTTACGAATCCATGTTCTTCCCTGTCGAGCCATGTCGATATTGAGCTTCAACAGGCTCCCGAATTCTATCTGTTGAAGTGCCGTTTGACTAGTTGCCTGTGATATCACCTTGCATTGGGGCCTTTCCATCAAGCTACCTGATTATCGCGCATCACACAGCTGGAACGGAACTTCATTGTTGGGAAAATCGGAAACCTAAGTTACCCAACTAGCTTGTCCTGGTTCGGGCTGTCTAAGCTGTGCAATCCACACCGTAGTTTTCGGACTACCCTTACTTATTCCAGGGCCCTGTTTCACAACCCACGGTTTGATCGGGTGTGATGGAGCCCCTTCAAAGGCTCTTGCAAGCTCGATCGACAGGTTCGCGGCCTTTGTCATTAGTGACATCACCATGTCGATTCTTGTATTCAATGAGTGGAGAGGATGTTCCACGGCACAAGCAGGGCCTGCAAGCCTGCAAGCCTGCATTCCACTTGCATCTCGGTGCCTTTTGGCAAGCTCTGGCACTCCGATTGGAGTTTGTCATATCAAGTTTCTTGATAGGGTTCTCGACCAAGAATAAGAGATCAACGACCGGACCTTGATTGAATTACGGCGTAACGGCAATGGGCTTGGTGTTACGGATCATACCGATTGCTATCTTTGGACTCCCGTCTCTCAGTATAGTGAGAGGGAAATCATAAAAGGCTCAGCCCGATGGGACCATCACCCCATCCTCTCAGCAATACCCTATAGGATTATACACTCATTGTCGACATGGGCGCGCCTCTATACCAAGACTTTCCCACCTTCAAGGAACGGATCGAGACTGGACTCTTCATCAACAACGAGGTGAGTAAAACGATGCTCGGTTTCTGGATCGTTAGACAGGCCATCCGTGTGTGCTGTCGAATGATCTCGGGGCCAAGTTCCAGCTTACGGTTCTGGACGCGACGGCAAAACTCATCACGCTCGATCTCTAGTTCGTTGAGAGCTCCGATCGCTCGACTTTCGACCTCGTCTCACCCTTGAACAACAAGCTTCTCGCTAAAGTCAGCAGCGCTACCAAGGGAGATGTAGACAAAGCTGTCGATGCGGCCGAAGCTGCTTTTCCAGGTGGGTAATCGATTGCTTTTCCCACAAAAACAGTTAGATTCCGGCCCTTCCGCTGACTTTTATGTGTCTCTAATTTTTCGCGTTCCCGGCTTCTGCTTGCTGCCTAACGACTGCTACTATGACATCGCCGGTCTGGACATGCTGTGGCTTATCTACTACGTCGCGATGGCGCCTGACTGCTACGTTTATCGCGTGCAATATTTGTGATGGCGGAACACACGACTTTTCGCTCATCCGTTGAATAGCCTGGTCGGCACTGACCGGCAAGCAGCGTGCAGGTTACCTTCGCAAACTGTCGGATCGCATCCTGGCTCACCGTGAACACCTCACTAACCTTGAGGTGAATGCGATCGGCAAGCCCAAGTCGACCCTAGAGTTCGAGTTTCAATGGACTGTTGAATTTCTCGACACTCTGGTTGTGAGTGCATATCTCTTGCCCCGTATTGCTCCGACACGATTTGCTGATCCTGCATTTATGTATGCGCCGTCCCGAGTAGGCTCAAGCTGAGGCTATCTACGGGAATGTTTCGGTTAACCAGCCTGGGTTTATGAATTTGACCTACAAACAACCTTATGGAGTTGTTGCTGGCATCATTCGTGAGTTTCCCTTCTCTCTATACACATCGCATTACTTGTGCTTAATGAGCCGTTTGAACTTTGGGGGATGAAATCCAGCATGGAACTTGGGTACTCCTATGATGCTTTGGAAGATGTGTGTAACGTCTCCTTCGCGTCCTGACTTTTCCATCTGAACCCTTGCACGATAGTGGTCCAGCGGTCGCTGCAGGAAACTGCATCGTCCTCAAGGCATCAGAAAAATCTCCCCTTATTGTAAGCCCTTTATGCCTTTTGGTAAAACTCTCCTTTTTGTTAACAAGCTTATTCATTTTTTTCTAGTCCATCGAGGTTGCCAAGTGCATCGTTGAAGCTGGCTTCCCCCCGGGAGTTATCAACATCCTTCAAGGAACCGGTCAGTCTGGCCAGTACATCGCTGAACATATGAAGATTCGCAAGCTGGCTTTTACTGGCTCAACTGCTACTGGTCGTCGTGTCCAGGCTGCTGCTGCCTTGAGCAACTTGAAAGTTGTTAGTAAGTGTTGTGATGTCATGCTGCGAGTGGGGATAGACACGATCTGACACGGTTGTTGACGTGAAGCACTTGAGCTCGGTGGAAAGTCCCCTTCGATCATCTTCGCAGATGCCGATCTGGTGTGTAGCTCCTCTTATGCTATTTTTCGCGGCGTCGCTCAAGTGTGGGTCTCTCCTCCATTCGTGATCAGAAATCGGCCGTTGAGACTGTTGCGTTGAGCTCGCTTGTTAACCTTGGACAAGTCTGCACGGTGTGTTTGAATTCTTAGTATATTTTCACCCAGAGACCATCATCTTATATTTCATACGTCCAGTCCAACACTCGCATCTATGTCGAGGAGTCAGTTGCGGACCAATTCCTTGAGGGTCTCAAGCAAGCATTCGCAGTCTGGACCTCTCTCCAGGGTGATCCCAACGATAACAACACACTCATCTCCACATTAGCCGACTCCATCCAGACCATGAACGTCAATTCGCTCATCGACGTCGCTAAGACGGAAGGGAAACTCGTCGTCGGTGGTGAGGGCAAGGGTGCTTTCGTTCAACCTACCATCTTCAAGGACGTGGCTGATGATGCCAAGATCAACACCACTGAAGTGTTCGGACCCGTGCTGGTCTACCACACTTTCAAAACGGAGGAGGAAGTTCTCAAACGGGCGAACGATACCGAGTATGGCTTGTTCTCTTCCGTCTTTACCTCCAACCTCGATCGTGCCATTCGTTTCTCGCGTAAGCTCGAGAGCGGAATGGTCGGCATTAATTCTGCTTCTCCTCTACTTCATTTCGATGTACCGTTTGGTGGGTGGAAGCAGTCTGGTTATGGGAAAGAAATGGGTCCTCATTGGGTTGAGAGCTGGTGAGTTTGGACTGCCCTTCGACTGCAAGCAAGCTTAATGGGAGCTGAATTCCGCGTTATAACCACAGGACTCAGACCAAGACTGTCTACATTAAGACTAACCTCTGAAGCCTAGAAAATAATGTACTTTACTTACGCGTGGGACACGTAATCCGCTCGTGCTGTAATTATGATCATGACATGCATGCATAGCTAAATACATTTCGTCCATTCATCCAACCTCGCCATTTTGCGCCAACTACTTCCTTTCCTTTATAAGACGAAAATGGCTGGCGGTTGGCCTTATGTGCAGGTCACGCCATCATCTGAATCCGGCTATATGATCCAGATCGATGTTCATTTTTTTGTACCGCCGAAACACAGAACGTCCCTTCTTCAGATCAAGACCCATTGTACGGTAAGATGAGCGAAAGACAGCCATTCAAGAAACTCCCATTGCAGTGCTATTCACCGAATGTCGGTATTGTCCTCGTGTATTTGAAACGAAAAATTCACACAACGTCATATTAGCGCTGGCTCACCGAAAACCTGATCTCCCGGACGATTGTCAGTTCCCCTGTGTTCGTTTTTTGAACGGACGAATAAATCTAGAGGCACCAATCAATCAAGCTGCTAGAGGCCCAGAGTCACAGATACTTGCCTCCCAGTGTTCACGATCTAGATATATTCGCCGGAGCTTCGTACTTATCAATAAAGCGCGGACTATATCGGGACGGATGCCCCGAGATCGATTGTCTAAGATTGTGTGGAGATTCCGGGCTTTATTGAGTACGTTACAGGCTCGAGCCTACGGTAGCATGTCATTTCGGTATAGGGTCACACGCTAGAATTCGGACGCGGACGTACGGTGCTCAACCCGGAAAAATGCACGCCCAACACTTCAAGGTGCTCGAAGACCATACAAATCTTTTGTACGGCATCCAGCGTAAGATTGGACCCCCATACGACAAGCCGCTTAAGGGGAGGAGGTTGCTTATCCTCCCAGAGAATACTAAGGGGCACCGGCTCGGATGGTAATACAGCCGGAGCGCTAGATTTCTTTAGTGTGAGGGACTGAAGCGGGGAGTTCTTGATACACCGCAAAGCGCTTGTCCACGGTTGGGTGTCCATACTGCGCTTGTCGGACCCGTTAGAAGTCAACCCGGTTGTTCCGATTTCGATGCTGAAGCTCCGTAGGTTAGTCAAGGTCGCGTCGAAATCCCCAACGGGCATGTAGCCATTCTGTTGTTCATTGTTTCAGCACGTTGTGTGTGCAAACTGACAAATTTCAGCCAAAACTTGCCATCAGAGCAACGGAAAGAGACTCTAGTTCTGGAAGGTTTTTGGATACCAGGATCAGCAGGTCCGTGAGGCCAATAGAACTGCAATGTTTAATGGACAGTGTGATGATCCCAGGAGCTCTCGAAAGAACATCGTCGAGTAACTCCTTAGATACGTTCGAGTCCTATAAAGAAACTATCAGAATGAGGGGATTCGGGTAATCAAGGCGCCCGTACCGAGAGGGAAAATGACCTCAGTGTCGAAGTAAGTGCATCAATCCATGTCGGAAGAGCTGACAATAGCACATGGCTGGGCCGCTCCAAATGTAACTCAGAGAGACTTGTACAAGTCCCGAGGACTTCCAAAGTTCCGACGACTCCAGAGGGCAGGCGAAGAGAGGAGAGCGACGGTCCTCGCAGTGAGAGCAGCTTCTCCACCATATACGTTGCGCATTGATTTGTTTGCAAAGGTACCGATGAAAAGGAATGTAAGTTATGGCAGATCTCTATGGCACGAGTGCACATAGAGTAGAACGTCTGATCAGGTCCTGAGGGTCCGAGTGGCACCATGACGATATCTGTTATGGCATCATTACTACCCGCACACCAAAGTCTTCGGTGCATGCAGTGTGGGACTCACCGATGCTTCTGACGTATTCCCCTAGATCACAGCGCCGATTTATCGTGTGTATAAATGACGCCTAAATAAAACCCATGAAAAAGCTGACACTCGAAACAGGTATACTGGTCCTGACCTCATGTCTCCATTTGGCGGCCTGCTTAGCACCAAACCGTAGTGACGAATAAAGGCGAGGGGTCGCGGCTCGACAGAGAGACCTACTTGTTGACGAAACAGAGGCTAAATCGCGGGGCTCCCAAAGCCAATCGCAAAAAAGGGCGAGTAGATCGAAAGGACAGTTGTCCATTCTCATATTGCGACAAAGTGGCAGTGCAGGGATTCACCTTGCTCCACTTTCCTCCGCCCAAATGAGCGCCCGAGCTCCGCCACGTCCGGGGATTCTCAAGGCTGATACCATAATAGTAGGGGATGATGGAAGAGTCAGTGAGGGATTATCTGACGGAAAGTTACTGCGCAGGATGTCGCAGACTCGTTGGGAATCACGAACCTCTCCGACACTGTCGCCAATGCCCTTGCGAGCGACGTGGAATACAGGTTGCACCAGATCATTCAAGTACGTGAACTAGCCCAGATGACCATTGATCCTCTGATTTGGCCTCCAGGAGGCTGCGCGTTTCACACGGCATTCCCGACGAACCATGATGACCACCTCGGACGTTGACCAGGCATTTAAAACACTAAACATCGAAGTATGTCCAATATATGGTGGCCTGGAGTATCCGTTCACCGAATAATAACGACTTCAGCCCGCATATGGCCATACTAGCCATAATGCTCCAACATTTCGGAGGGTGCAGCCGACGTCTGGTCCGCCGATATACGTAGTTGATGATGATGACATTGACTTTGAGGTCATGCTAAAGCAGAACCCAATACCTGTTCCTAGGAAAATTCGCTACGCAGGTTAGTATGTTTTCTATTTACTTAATTCACGGGTCCTGACACTTTGTCACCTAGCGCACTGGCTGGCGATTGAGGGCGTCCAACCATTAATACCTGAAAACCCACCTCCAGAAACACCACCCGCCGTCGATGCTCCACAAGCCGCCACAACTCATGCGTCACCTGCAGCGACTCAGAATGGCCCACTATCTCAGCCCACTCCGGACGCCAAGGCGTCGAAGGATCAACCCGTCAAAGCGCCATCCGTCAAAACACACCTTAGTCGAGAGTTGCAACACTACTATCAAATACTCGTTTCTGCATTATCACCTTCAATGGACGACCGAAAGAAGACAGCTGCCCTTACCAGTTTACGCGCAGACGCTGGACTGTCTCCCGTATTACCCTACATTGCGCGATGGATTGGGGAAGGAGTAGTTGCATCCCTACGAAGAGATTCCACGGATGGCGAGGATGTTGACTTTGATCGTAAAAGCTTGGATATCTATCTTGACGCCATAAGTGCATTACTAGAAAATGATCGACTATTTGTCGAGCCTTACGTACGTTTGATTGATATTCAATTGTTGGTTCGTGCATTAACGCCACTGTTCGGTATTAGTTACACCAACTTCTTCCCCCAATCCTCTCCATTCTCTTGACATCAACACTTCCAACCCCTCCTATCATCCCCACCGACTCCACTGATCCATCCCCGTCCCAACTCCGCACCCATGCAGCGTCCGTTCTCTCCCGTCTCCTCACGCAACACTCACCCACCTACCCAAGTCTCTCATCCCGCGTCACAAAAACTCTCCTTGCTGCACTCATCGATCCAGGGAGGATGTTAGGTACTCGAGAAGGTGCTTTAAGAGGTCTTACAGCTGTTGGGAAAGAAGCAGTTCGGAGGGGTCTCGTACAAGCTGGTGGAGGCACGGTCGTAGGGGAAGATATGGACCGGGCAACAGAGATGGGTATGGATACAAGAGGTGTTCAACAAGCCATGATGGTGGGTTTGTTTGTATCTGGAAATCACCTCGTCACGGCTTATTTCCTTTTCTTATCGCTCAGGATGCACTTGAAATCCTTCACCCTCGAACGACTGAACAACCTGCCGGAAGCCCACCCCGGCCACTTAATGATATGGACGATGATGATCGTACCGCAGCAGATCTTTTGATCGCTACCATCGGTGATTCATTCTCTCGGACAGTGGGCGAGGATGGCCGCTGGGCAAAGAAGCTCGCTAAATCGTTCAATGAAGGGATAATAGTCGGTACTACTTCATCGTAGCACAGACGAAGGGGAAAAAAACAAGCAGAACGTTTCTTCTGCCTTTCTGAGTGTTGTTAATTTGGCAGGCCTTCACGCGAATGGTAGCATCTGTGGCCATTCCACTCCTTTCCTGTGTTGGATTCTCATCTTGATATTCATGCCTGCATATAATTCTCAACCTTTCACTCGCAGTCGGAACCTGAACTCTAGCCTCCTACGCACGGGATGACGCAAGTGCATAAGAACCAGATTAACTGTGTACCTAGTACATAGTGGCAGCGGCTCGATTGAAGTGGCGATGTGGCGTGGAGACGTGCTTGAACCTGATGCAAGACTGATATGGCTGATGCGAATGAACAGCATGAGTAAAGCGGCTGACGGCACGCCGCGAGCCCGGTGCTCCGCAAGATACAAGCATTACAGCAAGGTGCAAAACAAACGGCGCAACAGATTTGGATGAATGCTCGATCAGGTCATGTGATCGATCCTATTTAGGAAACTGCAAGTCGATCATCATTTATTTTCTGCCATTTGTGGATAGTCACATGACTATCACATGACCTGCACGGACATTCATCCAAATTGGGCGCGTCGATTTTTTTGCACCTTGCTGTAATATTACTCCCGCATTTTAAGCGACATGTTGCCATGATGATCGGAAAGCAATGGAGGGAGAAAATGTTGTTTTTTTTTTGGTTTCCTTACAGAAGAGTAGATGTAGATCATGTGTACGAACGTACTATTCTAAGAGATGTGTTGGATAGAAGAAAGTGATTCAACGACGGTTTAGAAGGGTACCTGGACAAAAGAAAGGATAAAGGAATGGCGTCGATACCGGGACCCGACGACGGCCACCATCCCCATTAACCACAGCCAAAAGTATATCTACCCTATTTACCCGTCCACCCCCCTCCAAAATTAAAAAGACAAATTCAATCTAAGACCAAACGTCTAACAAGAGCCTCGACCTCTCCTTCATAGCCTTTAACTCTACCCACCCTTCCTCAATCCCCTTCCCCAACACAAACTCTCCCAAAATCCTCGCCAAAACCTCCTCAACCGACTTGCTCATACTTTTCGCATCCCCACAAATATACACATACCCTTTTCCTCCTTCACTCCCACTGCTAATCATCTTTCCAATCGTCTCCCTTTGATCCCAAATCAAATCCTGCACGTAAATCTTGCTCCCATCCGGTTTCCTCTTCCCAGACCTCGAGAACGCACAATGCATCTCAAATTTACCCTTCAACTCCTCCATATACCCAGGCCACTCATCTCTGTACAAGTAATCTTCATGTTCTGATCGGCAACCGTAGAAAAGCTGGATACGTCCCCAGGTGGAAAGCGCGTCCGGACCATTTTTATCAAGAGCCTTTCGAGCTAGGGCTACTCGTTCTTGGACAAATCCACGGAAAGGTGCCACGCCCTGTGTTATGTAAGAGATAACGCATGTCACAGATTTTTGGGTAAGAAGAGTAAAAACACTTACAGTTCCAGGCCCAACCATGAGCACAGGCGTCTTAGGATTCGTAGGGAGTCTGAACGCCGACCTTCGTACGTGAACGGGCGCCTTGTACAATCGAGGCCCAAATGCGTACGCATTCCTCGGTCCACCAATCGCATACGTCGGATGTCCGTTTGCGTCAACCAGCCCTTGTCCTTCAACCCCAGCCTCCACCTCTCCATACGTAGCACCCTTCAAATTCAACAAATAATTGGACGCAACTCCAAACACCCTCTTCCCCTTCTCAACTCCAACTCCCCGCCCTTGATCATCAACACTACTCCCCTCACTCTCATAAGTCAACACGACGCACGTAACGTGAATGCTAGTGGGGTACAACTTTGGACTACTCGAAATAGAGTAATACCTTGGCTGCAACCTTGGCAAAGCACTCACGATCACGTCGAATGGGATGTTCCACTTGGTCAGTTTCCCTTCCCTATTGACACCAACAGGTGCAACTTCGTCACCCGCGGCAAACTGCAACACCTCACCCAACTTCAAGCAACCTCCGGCAACCACCTCCCCGTAAAAAGCCTTGTCACTTCCCAACTTCCCGAGCACGGTCTTCGCCTCCTCGCTTGGCGCATACCGACTCAACACGTTCAGCACTTGTCTCCCAGCCACAGCACTAATATCAAGGTAATACCGTAATACGGTGTCGTACGTCGTAGGGACTGGGAAGGGAACTTTTGCGAGTGCGGGGTCAAGGCTTTCGATATCTATAACGGTTTGGGATCTTAATTTCGACTTTCCACCAGAGTCGGGATCAACGTCCAGTAAACCAAGCGTCGCTAGTAGCCGTGTGACTTCGACCTCGGAATTAGGGGGCCATATACCGACATGGTCTCCGTGTTGATACGTTAGACCTGATCCTTCAATATTGAACTCCATGTGAACACAATGGCGTGCGTGCGAGACCGCGAAAAGTTCCTTGGTGCATTGGATAGGGGCAGCATAAGGGTTTTTAGCGTCATGAATACCCTTCGTCTTGTTGAGAGCTCGAGCCGATAGTTCACCTAGTTTGACGGTTAGATTCGACAAAGGAGGGAGGCGGGAGAGACATACCGAGATAAACCTTCCCTTCATCAGCCGTTTTAATCTCCCTAACAACAAAATCAGGAGTGTCCCCACCAGCACCTTCCTCAACCCCCATAGCCTTCCCAAACTCCTCCCACATCCCATCCTTCCACGCCAAATAATCCTCTTCCATGCTCTTATCGTCATCGCCCTCCCCTCTCTCTCCAATCCTCACTCCTCCCATCTTCGTCATCGCCTCATCAACCTGCCTTCCAATAATATTATAATGCTCATACGTCCTATTTCCCAATCCAAACACAACATACTTGACACCATCTACTCGATGTCCATTCCCCGACGAAAACTCGAACGAATCATCCCGTAGGTTGGACACAAGTTGGACAGCATTATCCGTGGGTTCTCCTTCACCATACGTAGCCATCACGAAGACTACACAACAGTCCGAAGGCAAGGTGTCGAGTTTGTCAATGTCGTATTCTTCGGCGTCGCAGACGAGGGAGGAAAGTCCGAATTTGGACTTGGCTTCTTTGGCGAGACGGATGGCATACTCTTCGGCCGTGCCGGTTTGAGAACCGTAGAAGATGGCGATGCGTTTTTTCTATGGAAGGTAATTGGGAGGATGGAAGAGAAGAGGATATGCCGGTCAGGGTTGGTACGGGAGGTCATGGACAATGGGAGAGCGGAAAATGGAAGGGCAGGCAGAGCAAGATAACCGGACAGGTTATCATGATTTCGAAATAATGGCAACGTCAAGGAACAACACCAAGAGTACATGCAGTGACGATGTAGGATGACGAGTCGAGGAAGATTGGGGAAAGGAGAAGTAAAATTGAAAGCGAATAATCGTCAGTTCACATGATACGATGTCGCAGCGAAAATACCATAACACAGCAACACTGAGATAGAAACTCGGATCATGGCGCAACACAGCAAAGTGAAATAAAATGAAACAAGGTAAACCCCCAAATATCTTGGGAAACTCACCTGTTGCTTGAGCCTGGCCACGAAATCCCTTGGATCAATGGCTTCACCTGAATCACTAGCACCAATACCAACTGAAGAAGTTAAACCAGCATTGCCATTAGGGAGCTTAAACCCTCCATCGATAGATTTAGACGAGAAGAGTGAATCTTTGTAGAGGTAAAGGGTCCCAAGGACTAGACCTAGTGCGACGACGAGTATGTCCGAGGTGGATAATGAAGCCATGAGAGTTGGAATGAGGGAGAGGTATGTGGAGAGAGGATTCGTTGTGTTGGAGTTAGAGTTGGTAGAAGCGAGAGCGGCTTGCTGTTTGTCCGGAGACAAGTACGAAGAGAAGGAAGACTGATGACCCAGAGCCATAATCACCCCGCGTGTCCGGCGACCGTATGGTCAGTGAATGTGATGAAAAAAATTGGTGTTGACGTGTGAAAGATAGCACCGGAGCCAGAAGTGAGGGATCAAGTGAGCCAACAAGTGGTGAGAGAGGCGAAGAAGGGGATTAGTTAGTCTTATACGTTATTTTACTTGGGTTGGCGCTCCCCGTTGGATTGAGGAGAGCAAGGTAGATGGAGAGAAGGCAGTGGGAGAGGGACGTACTTGTATAAAAGGGTATTATGTTCGTTTAGCTCCGGACAGGAAATGGGCACGAGCAAAAGTCCCGTAAGGAAAGAAGATATGAAAAAAGTATGACACTCTACTGTTGCAGGTGAACCAGGCTCCGAATCGCTGAGACTCGTGCCAGCGGAGGGTTTAATTTCACACGGTCATGGGAATGATTACTAAGCTTTTTGACAGCTTGGGATCCATAGCACCAGCTGTCCCTTCAAGCTTTGTGTTCTTGCCTGTCGGCCTTATGCTTGCGTGCACTACTATGTAAGGGAATTTGGCCACCACCATCACCATCGCAACCCCTCTTCCGAGCGGTATATTGCACTGCAGGATCTCTTATTAATGAACCTAACGGTGTGAATTTACCGGAAGGGTCCTTCAATGTCTCTAACATCCCTCCTGTTCATCCCTTGTGCCAGTTAATGCTCCATATGTGAAAGGAACACAGACGTTACTACCCTCTTCACCTTGGGGCTGGGCTTGGAGCTTCGAGTCCTTAGACCTGACCACTCATTCTCACATGGCACTCAAGAGTCAATACTATTAATTAAAACAATCCTTCTCCATCCGATGATTGGCCGAGCTTGCGAGGCGTTGTTTACAGAGGGGTTAGTTTTTTTTTCGTGGGAATATACCGTGTGAAAGTGCAATCCCACCCCCCCATGGCCACCCCGTGAGAAATGGCCACCCCGTGGGATCTGTGCAACATCGGATCCAAATGTATATCTCATCCGTGCAATGTGTGTGCCACAAAATATTGCGGCAACACTTGCAGTGTTGTATGTTAATAAATACATAATAATCATAACAATCATTTAAACTATATATTTATTAACTTTGAGGGAAACTTAGGCTCTATGTAGCCTTTTAACCTTATCAACATAAGAGGGATGGCTCACCCGTGATATTGTGGCTGTGCTACATACACGCGCGCAAGCTGCAGCCCTCTCTCTCCCTCTCTGCAACTCCTTGCTACTGGCTCTCAGGCCCTTTCTGCAAAGCCTTAAGTGCCCTGGGCTTAGGATTTTGTATAAGTAGTACTATTTGGAGCAGATCCATAGGGTTCAAAGGTCTACTGAAGTGCGACCCCTGTCCCCCAGCCCCTGTGTTAGCCCGCACAGACTGGGATCAGTTCGGCAGTTTAAGACCAGCACCTCTCATAGCCTACAAGTTGTAGGGATTCCTGGCCCCTTTTTTCCTTTTGGAAAATACGTCAGCCTTGCTCCTTACTGCAACTTGTGCAGCGAGCCTGTTCCCTGCTTCACAATAGGAAATTTATTCAATTTGCCTGTAATAGGGCATATTGCCTTTGCAGAGGCCTTTTCTGTTTATACTGTGTGCACATTGAAGCTGTGGGTGCAAGAATATTTATAATTAACATCTTATGGAGTTAATTTAAATAAATTTTTAGATGCCAACTGAGGATGAGATCCTCCGTGCAGAGAAGATGAGGAGAAGAAATGAGAGGAAGAAGCTGAATCGTGCAGCTAGCCAAGGATCACTACATACACCACTCACTCAAATCCATTCTCAATCAACTGTTGCTGGGCCCTCCCAACCACCCAACTCTTCTGGGACATCTCAACAGAGATCCCAACATAATCGAAATCCATCTATTGGGACACAGCTTGCCCTTGACCTTCAACAACTGGATGTCCAATCTCAGGTTGGGTCTGAAACCCCTGAAATTCCTAGGAATACACTACGTATGTTGTATTCAGTTCTCAGTAGAATACACAGAATAACTTTCTACACAGAAATCACTCCACCAAGCTCTGCTGGTCCTCGACTTCACTCTGACCGTCTCTCACATACTCCTGAAGAGACACGTAGACAGCACCAGAGGACTCGTATTGGGTCTCCAGCTCAAGGTGGAGCTGATGTTGGCATGTATTCACCCTCTGGGCCTCTTGAGCCTTTCTCCCTTCCTGGGCCTTCATCTGTGCCTCAAAGTCATCATCATGAATCATCTCAAGATTCCGTTCAAGTTCATAATTCTCCAGAGCCAATGCAAAGATGCAATCGTGGCCATAATGCACCTGTCTCTGCATTTGATGGAGATAGGAACAGGTGTCGGAGATGTATTGACACTGATCGCAGGTACAAGGAGGCTCGCCAAAAAGCAGCCCAGGAGCAAATGGTGGATCAATCTTCACCTCCCCCCTCATCTCCCATTTCATCACAGGAACAACCTTCTCCTGCACCCTCTAGGCCATTATCTCCTCTGCCTTCATCCTCACCTCCAGACCTATCAGATTCACAGTGGGATCAAGGGCTCAATGATGAAGATTTGATGAGAGGATTTGCATCTGCAGTATCCGCCAATGATCGTGCTCTGTTAAAAAAGTTTCGAGAAGAGCTGATGAAGGTTCAAATGGAACACTGCGATGCTTGCCATGAGACATGGTTTGACTTGAAAGTCAAGGATGGACATTGTGCAAAGTGCAGAAAGGATGCGATCAAGTATACAGCAGCAAATTCCATGGACCCAGGCTGCAAGCCACAGTTCATTGTGGACGATCCTTCTTTGGAGCTCACACAGATCGAGGAGATGCTGCTTGCCCCAATTCATGTTGTCATGCAAGCCCACACTGTGTATGGTGGACAGATGAAGTATTCTGGACACATTTGCAACTTTGTCCGTGATACTTCTGAAGTTCGCCAGTTGCTCCCCATCCTTCCTGAGGAGTGTGAAGTCATCCAGATCCAACGGGAGGGTCCAGATCATGTCCTTGGTCATGATGTCCAGCATCTCTACTATGTTCGGCGCCATGTTGTTCAGCTGTGGTTAGAATGGCTTGTTGAGCATCACCCAGCATATCAACATGTCATTATTAGCCAGGAGAATCTGTCCCAACTTCCAGAGAGTGGTAGTGTCCAGCACCGCCTACAGTCCATTAGGATCAGTGAAGCAGGTGATGAAGGAGATGATATCCTGGGGCCATCAAATGGAGATGAGACTGATGGAGCAGAGGGGGGGAGGGCACTTTTCACATCAGGATTTGTTCCAAATGTGAATGAGGAGCGAGTCTCTGAGCTCCAAAACTTGTGCATGGCAGCACAGGCAGGACAAGGGCCTATTCTCATGCCGCACATTGAGTCCCAGCCAATCAGTGAATGGCATGACAATCCTATTGCCTCAAGGGCTTTCCCTAGCCTCTTCCCTTCTGGCCAGGCAGACTTTTGCAGTCCCCGTCAAAAACCAGTCTCATTCTCTGAATGGGCTTCACACCTCATGCGATATGAGGATGGTCGCTTTGCAAAACACCCTCGCTTTCGCTATTGGGCATTGAACACAATAATGCGCACTCAGGCCAAAAAAGACTCTTCATGGTATCTTACCACTCACCCAGATGAACGACAGTGGACAGTTGAGCAGATAAGGGAAATGGTGGCAGATGCTGGGCCTGACCAGCTGAGGGAACTAGCAAAGCGTGTCTCCAGATCAGGAGTGAAACTTGCGGGAACTAAACCATTTTGGATGGCACGTCAGAGTGAACTCACCGCCATGATGTATCAGCTCCGTTCACCTCATGCATTCATAACTGCATCAGCTGCAGACCTCCAATGGCCAGACCTCCACCAGCACATGCCACAGTGGGCAGAATCACAGGATGTTGGGGAGCAGGCAGCCTATCGGAAAAGGCGAGAAGACTTAAATGACAATCCTGCCATTGCTGCATACTACTTTGTGAAGAGATGGGAATTGTTTGTTGATTTAGTCCTCAAAAAAAAGTTCCAAATTGTTGATATGTGGTGGCGGTAAGTCAATGCACAGTTTACTTGGTACTGTTGTCTGATTTGTATCAAATGCTTAGTTATGAGTGGCAGTTTAGGGGGAGTAGCCATGTCCATGGCTTCATCTGGTTGAGGGATGCACCACCTGTGGATGATTTGGACCTTGATGATCAGGAGTCAATCCAGAACTTCATTTCTTTCTGGGATCCAATTGTGTCAACCTGGAATCCTGATATGCATGCCTTTTCCCATCAACACGCATCCTCACTATCCTATACTTTACTAGAAGACACCCAGAAGGAACTTGCAGAACTCCTTAACCGTGTTCAGCGTCATTCCAAATGCCCTTCCTCATATTGTTCGCGACGAAACAAACACACAAAGGAAGTGCAGTGCCGATTTGGCTTCCCAAAGGACCTTGATGAGCTCACTAAAATTGTCAAGGATGAGAAAGGGATCATTGATCTTTGTACAAGGAGGAATGACCCAATCCTGAACTCCTACAATGATACTGTCATCCTGGGATGGCGTGGAAACATTGACTTCCGTCCCGTGACAAGCTTCAGTGCTGTTCTGGCATATGCTGCAAAATATGTCACAAAGGCTGAATCCAAATCTCGAACATATGATGAAGTCTTACAAGCCATCCTTGACAGGTCCAATGCTTCAGACCGGGTGCAAGGGGTATATCTGAAGCTACTTCAGACCCTCATCACTGAGCGAGACTTTTCCGCACAAGAGGTCTGCCACCTTCTCCATGGCCTGAAGATGCACCATTCCACACGCTCCTACATATCTGTCCCACTTTTCCCAAGGCCTTCACTCCCACTTGACTTTGAGAATGCAACACGAGAGTTCAAGACACTCAGGGAGAAATACAGCTTGCGGCCTCATAATCTTGGCAATCTGTCCTATTTAGCATTTCTGCGGAGATATGATTATCAAAGCTATAAAGAGCGTGGTGCGAATCCACAGCGTGCAAATGCTGCAAAGGAACGGGTAACCATCATGTATCCCATCCCACACCCACACCCTGAAAATGAAGAAACATATCCCTTCTTTTGTTTTGCAAAGTTGCTTCTTCATTGTCCATGGAAATTAGGTGATGCTTGGCTGGAGGATGAGGATTGCTGGGTGGAGAAGTGGTCTGAATGGTCTGAAGACCATCATGAACTTCTAAATGATGGACTACCTTCTTTGGAGCAGAGTAGGACTGAGGATCAGGATGGTCAGGATGATGAAGACGAATTAGAGGAGCTCACTCAGGAGGAGGGTTTTAACCCAATGGAGGGTTGGCAGCTTGAAGCATTACTTGGGCCCCATCGACAGCCAGGTGTTACAATTGAGGCATTGGGGAGCAGACCTGTGGATCGTCAGCACAACTGGTGCCAATCTTCACTACCCATCGACATACTGAGGGATGCAGAAAACTTCCTGAAGGAGGCCAAAGCCATCGAAGGAGGCAGTTCAGAATTGGAATTTGCCCCTGTTGAATACCAGAAACTGAAAGGCAACCAGAGAATTGTCTTCATTCGGGTTATGGCATACTTCAAGGCACTATTTATGCACCTTCGGGACCGTATAAACCCTAAGCCTGACCCTCTCCACATTAACATTGATGGCAGTGCTGGGACTGGAAAATCCTTCCTCATTGGGGCCATTTGCACATCCCTTAATGAGATAGCTACTGAATATGGCATTCCAGGATCCCCTGTTGTGCGTCTTGCACCGACTGGGGTGGCAGCATTTGGGATCAGGGGTTGGACAATCCATTATGCTTTGGGAATTGGTGCCAAGAAGTGGGTAGGGTTGACAAATTCTGGGAAAGCACGCCTCCAAGACAGGTGGAAGGACATCAAGTTGATCATTCTTGATGAAAAGTCAATGGTTGGATGTAGAACTGCTGGAAAGATTGTCAGTCGCCTCAAAGATATCTTTCCTGAAGCAGCAGATAACCAACTGGCTGGCATGTCCCTGCTCCTCTTTGGAGACTTTTGTCAACTTCCACCAGTTGGTGAAGCCCCTTTATTTACCACAGCCAATCTGAAGCATGACCTCAGTCGCATTGGAAATCGTCTCTACCATTCTATCCCTGAGTCAATAACGCTAAAACAAATCTTCCGCCAAGAGGGTGCAGATAGAGAGCAGACACATTTCCGTGATTTCCTTCAACGTCTTCGAACCAATGAGGTCACTTTGGAAGATTTCAACCAGCTTCTGGTTCCACGCATGTGGACTAACCTCCCCCAGCATGAAAGAGAGGGTTTCTCAACAGAAATTCATCTTCTCCCACAGAATGAGCTTGTTGATACCTTTAACCTTCATCGATTAGCCTCATTGAATAAGCCTGTTGTTCGTATCAAGGCAATAAACCATGGGGCAGGAGCAGCAGCTGCATCAAAAGATGAGGCAGAAGGTTTGGACAGTGAGATCTTGCTAGCAGAAGGTGCTTCTGTCATGCTCACTCGAAATATTTGGACAGATAAAGGTGAGACATATAAATACATGGTCTTCCCCACAAGGTATTGATATAAATGCAGGTCTTGTGAATGGTGCTCGTGGGACAGTGGACCATATTGGATATGCACCAGATGCTGATCCCACTAAAGACATCCCTCTGGTTGTTTTTGTATGCTTCCCAACATACACTGGCCCAGTGGATGCAAAGTGGCTATCTCAAAACAATCCAGATTGCCCAGTTGTGCCCATTATCCCCTTCACTACACGCTGGGAGACTCGGGATAAACACTCACTTTCCCGTACCCAATTTCCACTTACACTTGCATGGGGTATATCCATCCACAAGAGTCAAGGTCTAACACTTGAAAGGGCAGTGATTGATTTGGGACCAAGTGACTTTGCAGTTGGATTATCATATGTTGCAATCTCACGGGTCAAGTCAATCAAGGGAATTGCATTCAGAACATCATTTGACCTGACCCGTCTCCAAAAAGTCAATAATCCAGAAGGTGGGATTCGGGGAATGTTGCTCCGAGATAATGTTAGACGTGAACAGCTTGATTTTCATGAAAACCCATATGATGTTGATGTATCTGAATATGTATTTTTAGATGATGATTGATTGATTGGGTCCTCTTCCTCTGACATCTATACATTATTGGCCAAGCTTGCGAGGCATTGTACATGCAGTCACATCCAGCAGCACAGTATGCCCAGAGAGTAACTGCCATGGGTTGAGACAGTGGTTTGTTGGCTGAGCTTGCAAGGCATGCATTTGTTTGGGTAAGGGCTGTGTGTGTGCAAGTGCTGAGTGTGTGGAGTGTGTGTGTGGTGTGGAGTGTGGAGTGTGTGAGTGCAGTGTGGTGAGTGTGGTGTGTGAGTGCGGTGTGTGGTGTGTGGTGTGTGGTGTGTGGTGTGTGATGTGTGGTGTGTGATGTGTGGTGTGTGGTGTGTGGTGTGAGTGTGAGTGCTGAGTGCTGAGTGCTGAGTGCTGAGTGCTGAGTGTGGTGTGTGAGTGTGGTGTGTGAGTGTGGTGTGTGGTGTGTGGTGTGTGGTGTGTGGTGTGTGGTGTGTGGTGTGTGGTGTGTGGTGTGTGGTGTGAGTGTGAGTGTTGAGTGTTGAGTGCCGAGTGCTGAGTGTGGTGTGTGAGTGTGGTGTGTGAGTGCAGTGTGTGAGTGTGGTGTGTGAGTGCAGTGTGGTGTGTGCTGTGTGCTGTGTGTGTGTGTGTGTGTGTGTGCTGTGTGTGTGTGTGTGTATGCATCCCTGGAAAGTAATTGCCCATGGGTTGGGTTGGGGGGTTGGGTTGGTGGTTGGGGGTTTGGGTTGGTGGTTGGGTCGGGTAGGGGGTTGGGAAGTTGGGTATGGGGCTGTGGTGTGGTGGGAACGTATCTCTTTAATAATGCCATATGGAGCAGAGCAGGACAGCCCCTGCAGTGACCAATGTGGAGTAAGGACAGGGAGCAAGTGCAGAACACATGGCTAGCTGTCTCTGATAACATTGATTTCCCTGGGTAGCATGTAACACTATGATGGCAACTTAATAACATCGATTTCCCTGGGTAGCATGTATATATGCAATCCTGCTTCCATTTTTATCAGTCACCTGCCAAGACTTTAACCCACATACATGTGGAGGAGTGTCCATGCACCCTCCCTCTACCTGACATCTAGGGCTCCTAGCAGATCAGACCCATATTGGCCTACTGTACTGGCACAACCAACAACCTCTTCCCATGGCCTCCAGGAGTTACTGGAGCCATAAATCAATTCAATTTTGTTGATTTTCAATTCAATCCAAGACCTTCACGTGACACGTGACAGGTTGTTGATCGTGCCAGTACAGTATCTTTGTGGGCCAATCTGAATGTCAGGGACATAGCATATGACTACATATATCACTGCATGTAGCTGCATCAGCCCATAACTCTCTCACCCCTTTCCCTGATCTGACTCCACCCCTTGATCTGAGTATCTCCCTGTTTGTTGCCTACCTCATCATTTAGTTCTGTTGATCCTTTTTCTTCCAATTGATTCATATCTCTCATGTATATAGCCCTATGTGTTGCTGAGGGTTGGAACCTCAGCTTTGTCTATGACTAGGTTTTTGGGTGATACTTGACTTGGACTGACAAGCAATCCCTGACACTGAATGCACATTTCAATCTGTGGGTATGGCTCAGATTCTTGGATTGGGTATAGAGTTTATTTACTGCAACAAATAGATCATTGCCTGAACTAAACACTTTGCATACAAATGAAGATGGCATATATTTGAAATTGCAGTACGGTTTGTTAGAGGGTTCCTCCCAAACTGGATGGCCAAGCTTGCAGCGCAGCGCCGAAGGCGCTGCAAGCTCGGCCATCCAGTTTGAGGGGAACCCTCATAACAATTGTAGCCTGGTTTATTTAATTGAGGTTTGACCGGCCAGGCCACCATCCATCCGATCAGCGACCTGACTCGAACGATCGGACAATCGTGCGACAAGGCGCAAGATATCCTTGGACTTAGGCTTTCGGGATAGCTTGCCAAGGAACCACCTTTCCCAGCTGCGTCTTTATCTAGGCGAAGGCAGACAGGTAGACAGCAATCCTTAGTTCACTGGGAGCACAGCCTGAGCGCCGGATGTCATTCAAAAATCCTGAGAGTTGAGATGAGTGAGAAGTTTGTGGGGGAAGAAGTCTGATCATGAAGTTAAAGAGATGTGCTTGCCGTTTGGGTGAAGAGAATGAACATTGATGTTGACGTCGGTGCAAGCAACGAATCACATTGAACAGTTCATCAAGAAATTCACACGAACCATCGCCACCAACGCCTGGTCAAGTTCTCGTCCTGTTATGCTTCTGACGCACTCTTTGATCTTCCCAATGGCACAATATCTTGAGTGATGAGCCTGCCCAACAGATGGACCTTCCATCTTTCCATAAGCGAACCAATGAATTGCGTGCGCGCGGTTGACCAGATGGCTGAGCCGCGCGGTATTGGTTTGATTGTCACTGCCTCGTTGGCGCTCTAACCATCCACCGATGGCCAACGCTCTCAGGCGAAACATCCAACGCCTCCTTACAGCAGGAGGTGACATGGCCATCCCAATTCTCGTAACGATTAATGCTGCATCGGATGTATGCCCCCCCTTAAAAAGTGCCACTAATTGTGCACTTTTCATCTTCGAGGAGGTCCAAGTAAGTAATGGTTTGTGATGAATGAAGGGGCTCGCCACTTATGCTACGCAGAAGTTCAAATCAGACACAAGAGAATGGACGGAATTTGGGAAATGTGTGGTTGTTGTTGTAGCAGATGTCCTGGCAGCCATCGAGTCCTATGACGCTTCAACTGAAGAGGCAAAGCCTTGGCTAGAGAACGTCAAGAAGCTGGATGCGTGCCATCGGTCTTCGGTCGCTTGGCTGCCCCATTTACGTGACACTCGACAGCGCTCTAAAACCGAAATCGAACCAATCTTCGGAAAAATGAGGGGGGCGGTCCGATATCATCAACTTTGCATCACACTTGATACATCCCGGAAAGATTGATGGCCTTAAGAAAGTCCTCGACAAAGCTTTAGCAGTAACCCTTCCTCCATCGTTGTCACTCCATCATCCTGACGTTTGGAATCCCGCAGCTCAACATTAACGACAGGCGCCAAACTAACAGACATAGCAAATAGCCAAGACCGTTTGAATCGCTGGCTAGAGAGCGATTCAGTTCTGAGTAAACCGCAATACCCAACCGTCGCCCACCACGACCCAGCGGCAGCGTGTCAGGAAGGCACCAGAACGGATCTTATCGGGCGTATCATGACCTGGTGTCGCGACATGGAGGGCAGCGCGGATCGGGTGATGCTGCTGACCGCAGTGGCCGGTGCAGGAAAGACATCCATCGCGCATTCAATCGCAGAGAAGTGTGCGAGCAAAGGGTCACTGTTATTGACCTTCTTTTTCAAGGCAGGGGAGCAACCACGACCAGGTCACCTATTCAGCGGCATGGCTCGATCCCTACCTGTTATCAGCCGGCAGGTGTTTGAGCGCGATATCAAGTCGATAGTTAGATATCGTGCTCTGGCCAAGTCATGGACCCTTATGTACCTATTTGGGTGGCCAGCCAGAACAAAAGAGTACAAAGTGGCGCACAACATGAAGTTAAGAGAAGTCCTTTCCGCTGCCTGAGCGGGTGGCTACGATATGTGTGCCCCGGCGCGCCACGTCGGCAATAAGGTGCCTGGTGGCCCGTCCTCGTCACTGCGCTACGTCGGGTTGCCACGTCAACACTACCAAGGCACGACCCCACGTACCGTGCCTTTGTCGTATCCATTCTGTTGGAAACCACCTCGGCCTAGAAGGGGCGTTTGGTGTAATGGCAACACACAAGCTTGGAGTTCTGCGGTTCGATTCCCATGCAGAACGTCCGAACTTTTAGGTCTCGTGACCACCCAAACTTCCAACACATTAATCTTCAAGACGGTCCAACTCTCTCGACTGCATCCTTCACAGTGCAATTCGAGGAACTTGTGGCTGAACCTTGTCGTCGGAAGCCATTACCTCCCGGTGATCCTTTGGTGGTCATCATCGATGCTTTAGACGAGTGTGAGCCCTTATTGATATACTTCGAGAAAGAAGTGCCGAAATTACCGTCGAACATCAAGTTCTTTCTCACCTCGAGACCAATTTATCTTGTTGATCGTCTTCTCTCATCCAATTTCCCTATTGGCATGCTTGGCATAAATATCTTGGATGATGCCAACAAACAAGACTGCTCTGTTTACATCCGCGCACAGCTGCGTCGTGCAAGAGATGCCCATCCGGGTTTGAAAGGTGAATTCACGAAAGAAGATACTATGCTGGTCCATGGCATATCGGAAAAAGCGGGTGGATTGTTCATTTGGCTTAGCACCGTCTTCCGCTATGTGAGGTTTGGCCAAGAAGCCGAGGGAGACGCTAGACAAGCTGCTTGATACAGGTGCCTCCCGATCAATGGCTTCTCCTGAAGGAGTGATGGATACACTGTATACGAGCATTCTGGACAAATGTGATTAGGAGGATGAAGATTTGTGCACGACTACCCCATCGTTATGGGGGTGATCCTGATCACCCAACAACCACTGTTTGTTGTGGCATGGAGTACAATTTTGTCTCCTTTCTTAAAGTCTTCTATCTACGACACGTTAGTTGAACTCGCTCCCCTCCTCTCAGGAGTCTCCATTCCGACGCACCGATTCGTATCATTCACCAATCTTTCCGTGATTTCCTCATGGGCCAAACCGATCCTCACTCACTCACCCATCATCGTTACGTGGTCGATACGATGAGGGAGAACGCTAAGATGGCACTGCGCTGCACCGAGATCTTGAATGAGGATCTTTGCTGTATCAAGGGTCTGGGGTTGATTGAAAGCTTGTCCGAAAAGGATGAAATGCCGCGCGTCTCTCGGGACATGCTGTCCGAACAACTCCGTTACACATGTCGGCATATTTTGTACCATCTCAATGAAGTTCAGGAACCACTAGATGCGCTCAGTGGATCGGCTCGCACGTTCCTGAATCAGCATACAGCACGCTGGGTGGAAGTTTGTGTGAGGACGGAAGGATACATCAGCATATCATCCCTCCCCGAGTGGGCCAAGGTATGAAATTTCAGTCAGGCTAATAAGGCGTTCTTATTCAGTCTCATTTACTTTCAGCTGAGCGCATCAAAGGAAGACATTCACATGCTGGTCCAAATGCTGAGAAGGAATCTGACATTCTTTTCAAGATTTCAGGAGGCATATGAGTTGGCAAATGATTCCGTTACACTTTGCCGTTGTCTTGTGTTGGAAGACTCAGAATCCTACACCCCGACTTTGGCTCGATCACTCCACAATCTCAATGCGTCGATCAGCAATCTGTGTCGTCATTATGATGCACTCCCGGTAATTGAAGAGAGTGTTGAACTCTGGCGTAAGCTAGTTGCCGTTCACCCGGCATCACACACGTCGAATTTGGCGCTATCGCTCCAAAATCTTCAGATATCACTTAACAATCTCGGACGCCATTCGGAAGCGCTTCCAGTGATCGAGAAAAGTGTGAAACTCTGGTGCGGGCTAGTTGCCGATCATCCGACACCGCACATGCCGAAATTGGCTCGATCACTCCACGATTTTCGGACATCTCTTGACAATCTAGGACGGCATCCCGATGCGCTCGTGGCGATCGAAGATAGTGTGAAATTTTGGCGCAAGCTAGCTGACACCTACCCGACATCATACACACCGGATTTGGCTCGATCGCTCCAGGACCTCAAGGTGTCGCTCAACAAACTCGGGCGGCATTCTGAGGCGCTCCCGGTGATCGAGGAAAGTGTTGACCTTTGGCGCGAGTTAGCTGCCGATCACCCGACAGCATACACCCCCAATTTAGCTCGATCGCTCCAAAATCTTAAAGTGTCGCTTGACAATCTGGCACATCATTCCGAGGCGCGCCAAGCAATTGAAGAAAGTGTTAGGCTCTGGCGTGAGCTAGTTGCCATCCATCCGATATGTTACACCCCAGAGTTGGCTCGGTCACTCTACAGTCTCGGATGCTCGTTCGATAAGCTTGGTCGTTATGGTGAGGCCGTGCCTTTCATCCAATAATCCATTTCTTTCTGGCGTCTGCCACTCGTTACCCCTTCCACACCACATGTCTCTGCTTTTAGCCTTGGCATTGCAGGCGCTATCCGAGATCCTTTCGAAGCTGGGGCGCTATGCAGAGGCACTTGAGATGGGTCAAGAGTCGATATCATACTAAATCCTGACGCCTATGTAGATGACCTTCGAGACTCATGTTTTTGCGTTGCGGTCGCAATGGAGGGTCTTGGAAAACACGGGGGCTAGCGACTATACGCATTGAGGACTTAACACCAAGGGGGATATAAATCATGCGTGACGGGTGGCCGCACCGACTTTACATATATCATGAACTATGCTCCCATAATATCCTATTCACCATACAGTCGAACGCGAATCTATAGGCTGAGGTTTCGTTTGTCCCGTTGCTCTTCGCGATATTCTGGATTGTGAGAGAACCAACAACTGTCTGCGGCTTTGAGCAAAAACAGCCGGCGAGTCGTGACTCTGTCGTGCAAACAGGCCTCAGGAAATCAGCTCATTTGACCGGCTGGCGCTGAACCAGATTTCAGATGCGGACCATTGATTTTCAACCATGTTCCGACCTCTCGCATGATTAAAAGCAGTTGCTACGAGTCTGAGAGTCTGAGTAGGAATAGTCCAATCATTTTCGAGGACGTTGTCGGATGGCGAATTTCCATCTTCCATATTTACCGTGTAACTTGTGGCTGCCAAGCAGCTGTAAGCTCGGGATCGAGAGCCATATGACAAATCGACATCGATATGAATGATCGAATGACCCAACACAATGGTGTTCTTTCCTTCAACCACAGGGACTATATAGAGTCATTTGTACTCGGCTCCAAGTTGTCATGTCTTTGTGCTTCTGCAGCGTATGAATGCCCACACAAGTCACTCATTTTTTTCTTTGGGTAGAACCTTCGGTAGCTTTCGCGGGCGGGGATGCCAAGCTGAGGAAGGGCGAGGCCTTCCACTCATTTCTCTCACCCCCCGGCTTCTATCGAGATTAGCGACTTATTGTGGCCCGGCAGCCCCTCCTACATAGTGCATCGTCGAAGATGTTGAGCCGCTCATTTTAAGCCATGCAACACTCAGATTATGGAGTACGAGATCAATGACCGCACCATTGCCTGAATACTGAACATCTCGATTTGATATGTGAGGAAAGGGGAGAAACTCGGATTCTAGGACGACGAGACTTGTGTACGAACTAATGGCACTCATCATCATCAGCAATTCAGATGTGGGATTGTGGTGTTGTTGTGCACAATCCATATGCTGGGACTCTACACATCTGTGTTACACACAATCCAGGCCACCTGCCCCATATTCTCTCACTGTCACGGCCGTGCATTCCGGCCCGTTAGCCGTCCGTCCCGATGCCGCCCGAGCCCATTCCCGCTATGTGAGCGTGAACGCGAGCCCCGACCTCAGCCCTATCCTCCCTGAGGACTCCCTGCTCGCTCCCCTGCTTGCCCTAGGCTCCCCTGCACCTGGCCGACTCCCCCACGGCCACACCAACCTTCCTGCCCCGAGTCCGCCTCCGGCACCGTGCCCAGCGCGACTCCTCTACCCCGCCCACTTGGCCCCTACAGGGCCGCTACCATTCCCGCACCCGACTCCGGCCCAACTCCGAGTCCAGCGCTGCTATGATACCATTGCCGCTATCGCGGCCCTACTTTATTTATCTGTTATTGTTTGTTTTGACCCTCGGTCATTGCCGGCCGCTGTGCGGCCAACCCCGCTCCTTGTTCCCTTTTGCTTCCGGACCCTTCGGCGTTCGGCCCGGGTCCGCTTCAATTCATTCTGCCTTCATATATATATCCTGTATACTACATTATAGTACTTTAGCTCTAATATCAATTTGACCACGACTCCCCAAGTCCTGACTCCAGCAAGGCAACCCCAGTAAGTCTGAAATGAGGGCCAAGAGACAGCTAGGGGCACAGCGCTCCTTTAGAGTCACTGAGGCCAAATGCCCTACCCTCGGGCCTTGTTCACGGCATCACGGCCATTGCAGCCTATAGCGGCCTGCAACGGCGACCTTCGGTGCCGACCCCAGATCAGTGTCTAACACTTTTCCTTTGTTCAGAAATAATCCACCATTGATTTGTACCCTTAAATTTTCCTTAAATCAGCCTTAAACTGGGACTTGTAATTCACTTATTGAATACTTGTAAATACTTATCACCTTAAATCGAGGATGTTGGGCATAGCAAACCCTTATCAAACGATTTTGCATGAAAGATATCACCTGTTAGAACCGGGCAGATTCGGACGACTCCGGAATGGAATCGGAGACTTAGCATGGAAGGACCTCGGCCTCAGCGACTCAGGCAGAGCACTGTGCCATTGCTGGTTGTCCTAGGGGTCCCTAATTTCGGATCTAGCAGAGGGAAAGTCTCTTGGGGGAATTCATGTCGATTTCGGACTGAGGTTACAAGTTACTATGTACATTGTATATAAGGAGGGGTCCGGAATCAAAAGGAGCGAGGGTAGGACGAAAGGAGACAAAGGGAGATGGAAAGAGGAACAACACTGTATTAGACGAAATGTCGGACTAGCGAGTTTATCGCTCAGTCCCGTTGTACGTGAACTGGAATAGATTAAAAAGTAATCACCTAGCAAGTTTATCGCTGGTGGACTAATGTTTAATACATGATTTAAAACATGATATAACCAACATACCTCAGTCCCTGAACTGAGGGAAGGTTGGGTTGTCCAAAAATTGGGGTTTTATAGTCAGGCGCTATGAATGCGCACTGACTTTGGCACGGATGCCACCAAGAAAGGCAATAGGTGTAAATCTAAACGCCACACGACTCAACATCACCAAACGTGAGTTGGTCATAGCGAACACCATAATACCAAGAATTCTAACACACCGAGGGTCAAGGGTTTGACTCAATGGTGTTTCTCAAAGGAGGAATGAAGGGCCAAGGCCCAAGGAGGAAGGAAGGAGGTTGGGAGTGGGGAATGGCTAGCTGACTGAATAGAAAGGAAGCAGCAGCCCAAATAGGAATGAGGGAGAATAGCGGAATTGAATAGGACAATGCAATAGTTGCAAGGTCCAAGGTAAGTCCGGAAAGTCCGAACTCGGAAGTTAAACTCCGGAATATTGGCAAACATAATTAAATGGAATGAGCTAACCAATACAATGGGTATAAGCGGAGGTGGGGTCAAAGTCCGAGGTCAGAGCTAAGACCGGAGGTTCCGGAGACGGAGACGCGAATGGGATTCCGGAGCGGAGGTCCGGAGTCAGGAGCTTAGGTTTTGCATACTCGTCTGGAAGGTGTCGAGGTTGGGGTCGGACCCGGAATGTTCCGGAGTCGGACCGAAGGTGGTGTCTGAGCCGGAGGTGGGGTAACCTCTTGGGAGTCGGCAAGGAGAAGGTGACGGAAGGGAAGTAGGACTCCGGAAGTCGGGTTCGGAGTTCCGGGAGCCCGGAGCGGAGGTCGGGATTGTATGGATATGACAACCACCCTGTACAGTACTGCAAAATATCAAGCTGCCAAAAAATGATATGAATTTTTTATGTCCCACATACATGCAGCCAATCTAGTGAATCCACATTTGTACACTGTCCACAAACTAAAATTTGATGTGCTTGGCACTCACATTCACATAGGCAGAATCTGCCAACCCAGTTTACCATCCCCAACTAAAAGGCACGGGGTCGAAAGCCAGAGCAGTTTTGTCACGACCCGGCGTTCCCTGGAGTCAGACGACCTCCTCCCTGACCTTCTCCCACGCCTGAACACTCCCCACACACTCTGCTCACCACCGATCGCTGTCTAACCACTCCCCACCACTTCTCCACGACCCTGTCAGGGCACACCCACCTGACCCCACGCCGCGCCCCGCGCCGTACTGTTCTACTCCATGACCCCCGCTATCAGCCCTGTCCCCCTTCCTCACTTTTCCCCTTTTCTCTCTATTTCTATTCTACAGTCGATTTCCCTTTTCTCCATGTACCACTACATACCTAACCCCATTTCCCTGATCGCCGCACACACCGCGCATACTCCTGCCTACTGAACGGCCGCCTCTGGGATCTCCTGCGGAGACACCCAGGGAGGTGCGGCTGTGTGCGGAGATGACATGGCCTCCTCCATGTGTGTTACGGATACGGAGTCTCCAACGACCATATCCGTCACATGGTCAAAGACTTCCCCTCTTTATCGCTCCTCCCCTCTTTCTCCTTTCCGTCCTCTATCCCGCTACCCTATCCTCCTTACCCGTTCTACCCCTTTCCCCCCCTCGTGCAAAGCTTTCCCCATTGGGGTTTTGGTGCTGGCCGAGGTTGTTTGTGTTTCACGGGATTTCCCGCGACCTTACCATTTGTAGATAGTCATGCGTCATGTACGGAAACCGCCGAAGGCGGTTCCCGCTAACTAACAACTGCTCTACAACTGTCTCGTGTACCATCTTCTGTAACAACCCTCCCTGTGACTCAACTGAACCTGTGTGACTGTACAACTCTCAATATGTCTTATAAGTCTGGTTATATCAAGTCCTCTAACGGCCCTCGCCGCGAGAACTCGAAGTCGAGAGTTGAAGACTCTCAACATGTGTATCGTCCTATTGAACCTGTACCCTATGGGTCTTCATCACTCCGCTCTCCCCCCAGTACTCAACATACGACGTCCCATCACGATCATGGTGATCGTGAACACTATGAGGCCCACTTACCCGCGATGCCGGCACGTTCGCTACGCGAACGCCAAGTAGCCGTCCATCCACCGTCTGTTTCTTCCTTTGCCAGTCATCATATGTCCCCGCCAACGGTACGTTCCCTTTGGGAACGCCAAGTCACCGAAGGCCCTAATAGTCAGCCCTCATTGCACGCCTACGATATCAACCCGCTACTGGTACGTTCGCACTGCGAACGCCAAGTACCCGATGGCAACTATGCGAAGCTCTCACCCATCTCACCAGTCACGACCTCGCACATGGTACGCTCCATTGAGGAGCACCAAGTATCCGTGGCTGACCCATCTGTCCTG